CTCCGGAGGATTCATCTTAATGAAGTCCCTCACTCTAGATGTCGTTGTACCCACATTTGGGTTCACGGGAACCGCAACCTCCCTATTGGCTTGGGCCATCATAGCGTGAGCCAATACTTGAAAAGCAGCCCTAAACTCCGTGTTAGTCACTTGCTCAGCCAAAGGTGAGAAGACCTTTCAACCTTAGAATACTTATTATGTGAGTAAACCTTTCTCAATCATGCTTTCATGTGTATATGAGAAATCCTTTCAACAACACAACAACATCATCATCATTGATACTTCACTCTCAAAGCATCCTTAAAACATTTACATAAATTTCATAAGAACATGCATAATTCCATAATTCACCCTTTCAAGGTTCAAAACCCACTTCCAATCATCAACATCTAGAAAACATGGGTTAGACATAGGTTCATAGAAATTCATCATAATTTCATGTAATTCTATCAATTTATACTTGATTTCATATAATCTTCTTTCATAATCCAAGATCCACATCATATCATCATAATTTGAAAAATATGGGGATTACATGGGTTCATGGGGAAACATCATAAAATCATGAGATTTACTCAATTCATTCACGATAGATCATAAATCAATCAATTAGATCAATAATTAAAGGAACTCATATCATAGAAGAATTCCCTAGCTCAATTGGGGAATTCTAACTTTGAAAATAAGAGAATTTGAGAACTCCATGAATGGAAGGAATTCATGAATGAAAACTATCATACCTCAATGCCAAAAGCTTGACTTCAATGGTGGAATTTGAGACTTGTCTTGAAAACCCTAGCTTTCTTCTTCAACTTCTAAAGAGAGACTTGTTCTTCTTTTAGGAATTTGAGAGAATCCTCTTAAATTGGGGAAATTTGGGGTAAAACTCTTATATAGGTCTTTAGGTGAAGTGTAAAACGACATGGTATTGAATTAAAATAATCTGAAAAGACCCAGAAGTCCCTAACTTAAAAACTGGAAACAAGAAACGCTGGAGCTCGCCAAAAGCCACTCGGTGACTCGCCGAGTGAGCCTTTAGCTTGCCGAAAGTTCCAGTGAGTCGGCTCCTGGACTAAGCTAATTAGGCGATGGAAAATTCACCTTGGCGACTCGCCTAATGGAACGGTGAGCTCGATCCAGCTCGCCTAAAGTTTTAGAACACTGGATGCAAAATATCAATTCAAAAAGGCGAGAAGTTCTACTCGGTAGATCGCCGAGTCATTCGACGTCCTCGAGTTACTTCGCCGAATTGATTGTGAAATGAATATTTTTACCTTGTCTGAATCCGAGGTGTTACATTATCTCCCTCTTGGGATCATTCATCCTCGAATGAGATTCAAGACATCATAATGAGGGTAGGAACTTAAACTTAACATCCCAATCATGAATGCAATCATATAAATGCACATAACCGAGGAGGAAACATCAACTCCAAGCTAAAGCATGTTCGAAACATCATAACATGAAGTCTATATGCAACTCATACTAAAATGCACGTAAACATGTAGAAATCAATCAAGGTGACTCATTTTCTCAAAACTTAAGCTTTTCATGAACATGCATAAATGAGAAAATCATGGGAATATCTAAGACACATGACACCAAAAGAGTAAACCATGAGGAACTCATTCCCTCAAGCTAGACTAGGGGTAGAAGGAAAGAGATGAGGATATCGAGACATCATATCGGCCTCGGCCTCCCAATATATAAAATTATAATTATTACAAACCATTAATTAGTAAAAAAATATGATGAAAAAAGTTACACTAAAAAATCAATGTATAATCTTTTATAAATGAACATAAAAATGAATAGCTCCACAAAATATCTAAATTCTCATATTCCTTATATATCATTCTATAAAATACTTACAAAAAAATAAAATGTTCAATTTTATCATCGGTGAATGTCAACAACAACCAAAGAAGGATCGAAAGAGTCACGTAAGATACCACAATAGATGACCGATAAATTGAACCATGAAGATGTTTGACAGGTAGAGATGTTAAAGAGATTTCTAGAGAGTTTCCTAATTGACAATCTATTTTACTAATGTTATTTGGATAGTGTCTTAATTGGTTTTGGGCCTATTGTGGGTCTCTTTTGATGATTGATTGAGTTGTTTTTTTATTTTTGGTCATCTTAACAGAGTTTGTTTAGACAACTTTATATACTCTTCATCATAACTTATATGACACAATTTAATCTTTTTAAGTCAATTAAAATTTATTTGTATGAAATATATTATTATAATTTTTAAAAATATTTTTAAAATTGTTAATTATTGGTAATGAACGAAATCATTTAGATACTAAAAGTAATTTTGGTATAACTCAACAAATTTAAGTTGTTAATTGTTGTAATTTATAATACTTATAACTTAGATTTCAAATACATAAGAGTTATATGTTTGTACTAAGAAACAAAGCTAAAACCTCAAAATTCAAAAAATACCACCTAAATTTAAATTGAGAATTTTCTGAATTATACAATAAAAATTCTTATTTACACTATATAACTAAACATGATTAAGGATAAATCTAATATTTATGTAAACTATTAAGATCCTTATATTTGACTATATCACATAATATAGTCGTGTACATATATTAGTTTCACAATAAAGACAATTCATTTTTAAAATTGACTAATAATAAAAGTAGGACAAATAAAATAAAGGAAATAGGGAATACATTTTTGGAATTCGGCCTGTTTCTATACATTACAAAAGCGTATAATACACATAGATTAGTCTTTATATTAAAAGTACATTGATACACTCTTGTATTCTTATTTCATATCATTATTTTTAAGAACAAACTATATTATACTTTCATACACTTAGACATATACGAATTACTTAGTACCTATAGGGAATAAAAATATAAATTGAAATTCTCATGATAATACAACTTCATGTTTATATCCATGCCATTAGCATAATAAAACATATTCAACATCATGAAAACAACTTCATGTTTATATAACGTGGATATAAACATGAAGTTGAAATATATTATTATAAATTTTAAAAAATATTTTTTTAAATTGTTAATTATTGGTAATGAACGAAATCATTTAGATACTAAAAGTAATTTTGGTATAACTCAACAAATTTAAGTTGTTAATTGTTGTAATTTATAATACTTATAACTTAGATTTCAAATACATAAGAGCTATATGTTTGTACTCAGAAACAAAGCTAAAACCTCAAAATTCAAAAAATACCACCTAAATTTAAATTGAGAATTTTCTGAATTATACAATAAAAATTCGTATTTACACTATATAACTAAACATGATTAAGGATAAAACTAATATTTATGTAAACTATTAAGATCCTTATATTTGACTATATCACATAATATAGTCGTGTACATATATTAGTTTCACAATAAAGACAATTCATTTTTAAAATTGACTAATAATAAAAGTAGGACAAATAAAATAAAGGAAATAGGGAATACATTTTTGGAATTTGGCCTGTTTCTATACTTTACAAAAACGTATAATACACATAAATTAGTCTTTATATTAAAAGTACATTGATACTTTTTTTTTATTTTTTTGTAATTGACTCTTTAAAGTACTTTTAAAAAAAATTAGCCAAATATAATTTATTTATCAAAAATATTTTTCAAATAAATTAACTAAACACAAATTATCATATTTAAAAACATTTTTCTAATAATTTATTCTAAAAAGTGTTTCTACAAATAAGTAACTTTTGTATATATAAAAAAACTACACTTCATTATAATATAGTCATTACTTATAAAATATGCATACCGACAAACTGTGGGATATATATATAAATAATAACTATTTAACCATATGTTTAGATATAATATTTATCATAGAATAATTATTTATTCAGTTTTAATAAATCATATATTCGTTTATGATGTCTATTTACTCATATAGTAGATGATTTAGTGTATAGAGTTTTAACTTATACACAGAGAATTAAATCATCGGTTCTTATAAGTATAAAATATTTTTGATTCACAATCTAAGATGGAAATTGGATATGTTATCAGTACGATTGTAATACAAGACTATATATAATTTATCTTGATTATGGGAACAATATAGTTCCAACTTCTTATGTTAGTGCATTTTGTATGTTTTGAACGTGTCCGAGTAGATATAGTTATTTTAGATTTACTAACAAAAGCATATTCTTTAAACTGTTAAATGTACTTATATTCTTAATCCTGATATAACTATTATGATATATATAGCGTGTGTTTTTCTTGTTCAAGTAAAGCACGACATGTTTTTGCTCTCCTTAGGGGTTCATCTAACCTAGAAAAAGAATTTTTATATGATGTTTGTCACTCAAGTATTGAGAGAGTTTATTATCGTCTAACTTGTGGATTCATCTTCTCATAAATAATTTTGAATTAAATTTATGTGTTTTAATATAAACGATTATATGTGTTCTATCATAAATATATTACTTTCCAACACAAACAATCGTTAGGTTGGACCTGCCCGTTACACTTGTAAGTTAGTGAGAGCCACTATTTATAAAGATTCCTTTTTTAGATACTGTTTTTTTTTCCACGCCAAATTACTTTTCTCTAATCTCTGTAATAATTAGTTATCTTTTTTGGTGTAATAATAATTAGTAGGATTGAAAAACCTCAAAAGGGGAGGAGATTTGTAAATTTCAAGCCTCTTCCCTCCCCCTTTGACTTAACAATTCCAGATATTATAATATGTAGTAACTTTTTTTATGTTTTAAACAACAATTATAGTTTTGATAATTTCGTTCAAAGAGAATTGCTCATTGGCGTGGATCTAGATCGAGAGTTGAATTTTGGATTTTCAATTGGTAGGTATTGTTTTTTTATTGTTGAATTTTTTGCTCCTTTCGCATTTTGTTGATTTCATGATGTTTTTTCTTATTTACGGACCCTCAAAATGCATAATCATATTAGAATTTGTATTGTTTCGATTGGATGATTGATTCAAGTGAAAGTGGTGGTGTATAGGGATTTGGGCTTGAAATTGTATAAATATGGGGGTAATGTCAAGGAAAGTAGTGCCTGCATGTGGTAGTCTCTGCTTCTTTTGTCCATCATTGCGAGCAAGGTCAAGACAGCCTGTTAAACGCTACAAGAAGCTCCTTGGAGAGATTTTCCCCAAATCACAGGTCTATTTCTTCTTTTTTTTACTCATGATATCATCTTCACTCTTTTGCTATATTCACTATCTCTTATTGCAGGATGCTGAGCCAAATGATAGAAAGATTGCAAAACTTTGTGAGTATGCTTCAAGAAACCCATTGAGAATACCAAAGGTAAAAATAAGTTTTTTCTTCACTTATAATTCACTACTTCATCAAATTTAACTTTTTGTAATTTTGCTGCTATTCAACTTCCCAAATACCGAAGAAGACCCACTAAAATTTGAAGTTGGGACAGAGTATTGTATTTTGCTTTTAAGAATTTGTTGAAAAACTGATTCATGAGAACTTCAATTTTTCCCTTTAGTGCTCTTCTTGTATTTTAAGCTATGTTGCAAGGACTCTCCAAAAATGTTGCTGCACCCATATTGGATTCTCCAAAAATGCACTACTTTTAGGGCATCCTTCACACACCTGTTGGCAACGTAGATTTTAAGCATGTTTGTCCTGTGGGCAACATTGTACTTCTCCATTCACAGGGGACAATTAAGTCATCTTAGTGATTTTTTTTAAAGGGGAAATGCGTTTTGTTATGCTATTATACCTTGGATGTTATGTTCAAGGTACATACTTGAGAGGATTTTATTATCTCAAATTGCAAGTAGTTTCTAGGAATTCAGCGTCCAAATTTTTTTTTTTTTTTTTGCAGTAATGTTCTAAAATAAGAGTTCAAAATCAGGTCATGAAGTCTCTTCCATAGTTTAATTTTACTACAGAGGTCTTTTTATGTTTCATTCCCTCACTTAAGGCATGAGAGGGATTACTCTGTAAGAAAGGTGAGCTCACTCCCTCCGTTAAATCATTGAAGTGAAAAAATATCCGAACTCCATGTGTCATTCATATTCATCCTGATATATAGATAAATTGTTGCCATGAATTTCTACCTATTAATCAGAATATTCATATTGTAGTATTGGGAGTTATGAAGTTTCATTAATTTCCATGTTTGGAAAGCTTTCTTGGTGTCTTGAGTCTCCTTAATATGTGTATACTAATGACTGATCAACGTGATTCAGATTACCGAATACCTGGAGCAAAGGTGTTACAAAGATTTGCGAAATGAGCACCTTGGGTCAGTAAAAGTTGTTACAATGATCTACAGGAAGCTGCTATCTTCATGTAAGGAGCAGATGTAAGTTTGAACAATTAATAGAAGTATTTGTGTACCTATAGCTCAAAACTAAAATCAGTTTGAATGTCCTACTATAGATTTATCTGCATTTACTAGACAAGGAAAGGATAGGAACAAACCATAAGTTTACTAAGGCTCTTCTCAGTGCTAAGCTTAGATGGGAAGATTAAGCCAGATCTTATGCCTTTCTAGGTGCATGGCTACAACTATTTGTGGCAGATGAAGTTGAACATGAACAGGTGATAAAAAAGGAAATGGATCTTGCTTATCCAGAAAAGGAAAAAATGAAAAAAGGAAACAGAAAAAAGGGAATGAATTCTGGAGAACAATATGGAGAAATATGGATCTTCTATATTTTTGTTCTCTAAAATCTATATGTAGAGAAGGATCATCACTAGATTGCTTGGTTAGTCTTTGGCAACAGTGAAGAAAGTAGACGGAAGAGCTTTTTTTGTTGTCCTCAACTGCAAAGGAACTACAAAGGCTCTTCATTTCTCATATGCATACGTTAATGTACAGTGCTGGTTTTGCAGCCCCATGGTGTAGTTCTATAAAGTTCCATTACACAAGAACTTAGAACTTAAAGAACGGAAACCCCAGCAGTAAATTCATCTCCCTTTGTTCCGGGGCTGTTGATAAACCTCAACTGGTTATCAAGAGTTATGTGCCTGAAGAAAATCCACATTAGATCTACCCGTTTTGATAGTGTTCCTGTCCTTGTCTGAGAGCATTAAAAGAGTTTGGAGTTGAAGGGGAGCCTTGGAGCAGCGGTTAAGCTGTCTTCATGTGACCTATAGGTAGGCCACATGTATGAGATTGTTTTAGATCTTTTCCCGCTTTCCTTTTTTTTGAGAAAGGTAACTTTTTAGTCTATATATCCACATGTATACTACATCAAAGTGTAGTCCCCCTTCCAAAATTATTACAACCTAGGAAAACTATTTGTACTTTTTGTTACAAATTGTCTAAAACATCAATAATATTTCAGTCTGTCCCAACACTTTTTGTTCACACCAAAAATAGTACAAAGCCAGGCAGTTCATCTTAAAATTCGGCAGATTGTTTTGCTTTCCCTTAAAGCATCTTTGATTTCTTTCCTTCCACACTGTCCACCATATACAAGCTGGGACAATCTTCCATCTCTCCTCCTTTGTTGTAGTATTGCCAACTCTCATCCAGAACTTCGATACTCCTTCAATGTTCCTTGGTTTCACCCAAGTGATTTTCCTCAGACAAATAAATATTCTCTATAGCTGGTCTTCCCATTAACAGTGTAAAAGAAGATGAGTGTAAAAAAAGATGGTTGATTGTCTCTGTTTATTCTTCACATAAGTAACACCTGGAACACAATTGGTATTTCCTCTTCTTCATGTTTTCATGTGTCAGTACTACTTCTCTGGTCAGCAGCCATGTGAAACAATACCTTGTATTGAATTTTTGTCCCCCATTTCATCTTCCAAGGCCACTGTTCGATCCTGTTGTTTGAAGCGGTGAGGTTCTTGTATGCTGAGTTCACAGGGAAAACTCCTTTGTTGCCTATCTTCCATATAGCAGTATCTTCTTCCCCAGTTAGGCTGTTGAAAGGGGCCAAGGTGTTGTAGAGAGCACCTATCCTTTCCCACTTTCCTTGGTGACTTGTATTCTTGCTTCCTGTTGCCTTTGTTTTGAGCACTGATGTTACCAGAGATCTAGTAGGTTATCTTGAAACTAGGCAATGAATTATAATACTGAAAAACGATTTGCAACTCTGTAGATGCCACCTCAGATATGTCTAGACACTATTCAAGTAATAATGCTTAGTTGTTTCCTCGGAAATTTCTGACTTGAAAATAGGCTATAGGGTATCTACGATGTTCTAGTTGACTAAGTAATTTTAGATGGAAATGTTTCTTCTTAGTTAACATCAGTATCTATGCATGTGATATGCAGTTTTGCATTATTGCACTGATACAAACGAAGTTCTGCATACAATATTTACTCAAGTTACTTTTGACTTTGATGCAGTTAGAACAAAATGTAATTGTTTAAATTTACAACTGCAGGCCACTATATGCTGCTAGTCTATTGGGGATTATCCGCACTCTTTTTGAACAAACACAGCATGATGAAATGCAGATTTTAGGTTGCAACACTCTAGTCGACTTCATCAATTGCCAGGTTTGTATGCCTAAGGAAAATAGATGGTTAATAAACACGGATATCATTCCTAGGAAAGACTATTTTGAAGTAGTTGTACTCTGCTCATATAATTTGAACCAAGAGCGTAATTTCTGAAGATGGACTTGGGTAATATAGCTGCCACTGTATAATTTGATCATGAATCATTGTGTCTCTTACTGATCTGTCATAATTTTGGAGTGGCTAGCAAGTACTGATGTCTGTTAGGATTTTGAAGAGTCCTACTTCGACCTTTTAAGGGATGAGTGGTCTCTTTAATATGTCTTGGGCAATTCTTACCTCTTGAGCTAGCTTTTGGGGTTGAGTTAGACCTGAGGTCCATTTCATTAACATGGTATTAGAGCCAGGCCCACCCAAGTCTTGTTTCACACAATATGGTCCCCCCATCATATATTATCCACGCTTCAGATGTCTAATCTGGGCATGAGGGGGAGTGTTAAGTCCCACATTGGTGGGTGGGAGGCAAAATTTTTCTCCTTATATGGTCTTGGGCAATCCTCAGTTCTTCACCTTTTCAACTAGCTTTAGCTTTAGGAATTGAGTTAGGCCCAAGGTCCATTTCTTTAACACGATATCAGAAAAAGCTCCATCCCAATTCTCATTCCCGATGTTGGCCCCCATATTAATGGTCCACACACCAGATGTCTAGCCCTGGGCATGAAGGTGTTTGTGTGAAGAGTCTCACATCGTCCCTTTAAGAGATGGGTGGTCTCCTTAATATGGCTTGGGCAATTTTCACTTCTTGAGCTAGCTTTTGGGGTTGAATTAGGCCCGCGGTCTATTTTAATAGTGTTGCAAGTACATTGTAATTCCACGAGGAGGATGTTACTTTTGATGAATGAAGAACAATATTAGTATTGCACCTACTCCCCCCAAAAAGGTCAAAGAAGTTATGGTATTGCATATTCTATCCTGGATTTTGAATGTTTTTAGTCTCTATTGGCTTCTATAAGAGGCTTAACTCTAAAAGAAGCAAGGGGCAGTTTTGGGATTTTATTTTTGGTGGTTTGAGAGAAGGAAATGGAGTGTGGTTTTGATAAATGGATTTAGAAGAACTTGGAAAATATTTTGGGTTTATGCTAAAAAGTGGATTCAAGTTCTCTTGCTTCTCCTTGTTAAGCAGATGGATGGTACTTACATGTTCAACTTAGAAGGCCTTATACCTAAACTGTGCCAACTAGCTCGAGAAGTTGGAGATGATGACAGAGCCTTGCGCTTGCGTTCTGCAGGAATGCAAACTTTGGCTGTCTTGGTAAAAACTCAGTCTCTCTCTCTTTCTGTTGCTTAGTATTTATTTAATTATACTTGCAAAATTCTTAAGTACCCAGAACTTGGAACCACTTCAGGTGTTTGGGGTGTTTTCTGATATTCGGAATTACTAGATCTTGGTGACATAGACTAATGATAGTACCTTCTTTGAAGGATTTATCTGCATTTGTTGTTTCACTAAGGTCAATATCTTACCACTTAATCTCAAATGTAGCTTATTCTTGCAGCTCCTGAATCAGATACTAGGATGTTATGTACTTTAGTTGTCATCACACAGAACATTCCCACGACTGTAGGAGGAATGAACAAGCTAATTACTCTTTACCTTTTCATATGGTGGCTTTGTCTCAATACTGGACATGTCTTGGACCAGTTAGAACCAGGAAGGGCCCATGTCTGGTGATAAAAGCTTGTAATGTGAATCCCTAATTAGCACTTCCTGATAACTAGTCTTATATTGTTAAGGACTTGAGGTACATGTGTCACTGTATTTTTGTGTGTTGGAGTTATACTTATATGTCGTGTTTTGGCAGCTAATTTTTCCAGTTTACATCAGAGAATTATCAAGTAACTGGAAAAATTTCAAGTGTATAAAACTCATCCTTCGGGGATATCCAATAAAATTGGGAAGTTTCAAGTGTATACAACAGTAGCTTAACATAGCGCGGTAATTGAGAGAAGGTGCCATTTTGTTTCAGTACTTCTACTGCAGCTTCTATAACTGAGATGAGAAGCTTCTTCCATGATGTCTAAACATTAGTTTCTCAAGGAGCAACTTAGAGATTACCCTTTCCATTTTTTTAATTAATTCACTTGAATGTAGTGCATCCAGAGATGATTCAAAGTTTGTGAAGCGAACAGATAATGGATAGTAATTAAATCTAGCATGAGGTTCAGTATTTGCTAATAAGGTTAAAATAGTAAACAACTTATATGCTATGAAGCTTATGGGCCATTTCTCATCATAGCTACACATTATTGTTTTCGTGTTTATCAATTTTCTTGGAAGTTCAAATATATTTTTGATTCCTTGTATTTCTCTAATTTCTCTTTAGGCTACACTGTGGAGTCTATTCTTTTCCTCTTTTGACCTTTCTCCACATGTGTTTCATTTGCTTTTCTTTTCCCACTTTTTCTTTTAGGTGTGGTTTATGGGGGAGCAGTCTCATATCTCCATTGACTTTGATCATGTAAGATAATTTCAATATTACTCAGTTATTCAATTTTCAGATCAAGAGATACTCCAACTGCCAATTGTTGTTTCTAATGTTGGATGAAAACAATGCAGATTATTACTGCAACTTTGGAGAATTACATTGACTTCACAGTGAACCTAGAAAATGGACAAGACAGTAAACAGTCTGAACCTTCAGAACAGTGGGTTCAAGGAGTGTTGAATAGTGATGATCACAGCTCATCTTTCCCTGATATGAGCAAGAAGGTTTCCTCCTCGCCAAATAGCATGAATGCAAATATAAAATTGACATCCTCAATGTAAGATTATACGCCTAAAATGGCAAAGTTCTTTTCCTCTGGCTGACAGTATAATGGATTATCTTACTTTATATTATTGTCGTACTTCAATCAGAGAGACAGCCAAAAGCCCCTCTTATTGGGCCAGAGTTTGCTTACGTAACATGGCCTTACTGACAAAAGAAGCAACTAGTGTACGGCGGGTTCTTGAACCTCTTTTTCATAGTTTTGACACTGAAAACTATTGGGCGTCAGAGAAAGGACTCGCCTGCTCAGTGCTCATGCATTTGCAGTGCCTGCTAGAGGAATCAGGTGATTCATGGGCTCCTTGTTCCGTTTCTTCAGCTGAGATTAATATTTGTGATTGGTTTAGTCATGTTGCTCTTTCAATTTTAGCTTAATACGAATTTTGATCCCAGGTGAAAATTCTCATTTGTTGCTATCCATCTTGGTCAAGCATTTGGATCACAAGAACATTATCAAGCAGCCTGACATACAGATCAGTATAGTTAATGTGGTCACACACTTGGTAGAAAGTGCAAAAGAGAAGGCTTCCGCAACTATAGTTGGTGTCATTAATGACCTGATTAAACATTTACGGAAGTGCATGCAGTATTCAACTGAAGCATCTAGTCCAAAAGATGGATTAAATACTTCTAACTCCAATCTTCAGTCTGCCCTAGAGAAGTGCATATTACAGCTCTCAAAGAAGGTTTGTCTTTGATAATTTGGTTTCAATTGGCTGCACGCATGCATTGTACTCTGAAGTTTTCTTTTCTTTTACATATGTACCTAAATCCAGCACGAAGTTGACAATGAAGTAAATTGTCTTCATCTAAGGTTACTTGCAATCCACTATCCTTTATTCTGTTCCATATGTTCTCAATGTTTTTTTTTAATGTGTGTTTGAGGAAGCAACTCACTTTGCATATTGACAGTTGAAGTTGTGCCTTTTTGCTTTTAGCTTCCAGTGCTGATTAAAAATTGTTTGGACCAGAAATACATGCTTATTAGACCTATGAGTTTCACAATTTGACATTTTTCTTTATCAAGTGTAAGCTGATCCTGATTTAATAATTTTCAGTGTGTACTGTACCCAAGGAGAGTGCTAGTTTTAATAACTACAAGTGAATAAAAGATAAACATTCTGTACCCAGCAGCCTTTTCTTTGCAGTTTGTTTGGCCTACTTATTCACTCTATCCCCATAATGAGGCCTTTAATAGAAATAGTGATCTTTTGCATTTCCTAGAATCTATACCAGTAAGTAGTTTTAAAGCTCTACTTGGACTCAGTGTAAGATTTGATGCAACTGGCACTATTTGAAGGTCAATAGATGTTGATGTTTTCAGTCAAAACTGTGATGATAATGAGTTGTTCAAATTTGATTATAATTTCTGGGAGTAAGTTCTTTCTCTGGGTTTAATGTTTGTCTGCTCAATTTATTTTCTTAGTTTTTTGCTAAAGCTGCTTGCTATTACAAGAACAACAACAACAACAACATACCCAGTGAAATCCCACTAAGTGGGCTTTGGGGAGGGTAGAGTGTGCGCATACCTTGTTATTACCAAGTACAATTGATTGCAAGCATCAACATCCTATTTGCCTCTGGTAGAGTGCAGGAACCAAGTGCCATTACATGATGAATGCTGTATTTTTATTGTCTCTTATAAGTTATTAAGTTTAGATCTTCATTTGCTTATATACACAAGCATACCCTGTGATTTTATGTTTTAGGTAAAGGTAGTGTTTTTATTATGACATCTGTCATTAGCAGGTTGCTGATGTGGGCCCTATACTTGATATGATGGGCATGGTGCTAGAGAACATTCCAGCTAGCACCGTCGCTGCTAGATCAACGATTGCAGCTGTGTATCGCACAGCACAAATTGTTTCTTGCATTCCAAATGTGTCATATTACAGGAAGGTAACTAGAATCTGTTGTTGTGCTCCTGATTCATGGTTTTGTAACTTTTATGTAGTCCAAATGGTATAATCTGCTCTCAATCACCCTCAGGCTTTTCCAGATGCTCTCTTTCTCCACTTGCTCTTGGCAATGGCACACACTGACCATGAAACACGAGCTGTAGCACACCATATATTCTCCACTGTGCTTATGCCACCTGTCAGTCCCTTGTCATCTCTACATAGTAGAACTTCTTCCCAGAGTATTCTAGTCCAATCACCAAGGAAGTTGGCTAAGGTTAGAACTAAGAGTTTCTCCGTTCAAGATAGAAATACAGATGGAAATGGTTCTAGAGATGGAGAAGTGGGAGAAGAAAATGAAGATGTCAGTTGCCATTCACATCAATCTGGTGACTCTCGATCTCAAAGTCAATCCTGTGGCTTCAAGGATGCCCTACCTGACAGGAAATCTGTATGGAAGAACTGATCTCTCTTCTTTTATTTGCAAGAGTTGCCCATGAATTTGTTTTCCTTTTAAGGTATTTAAATGTCTAATCGTCTGAAATACTTCAGGAGCTCATTTCGCTTCGGTTGAGTAGTCACCAAGTGAGTCTTCTGCTTTCATCTATCTGGGTTCAGGCAACACTGACTGATAACACACCTTCCAATTTTGATGCGATGGCCCATACGTACAAAATTGTTTTACTTTTCATTCGATCAAAGGTTAGATCCCATCTTTTTTGTTGTATACAAACATTTCTCTGTTCCAGTTTTCAGTATCTAGTGGCAAATCATTGACCATAGAAATGTTTTCTTTTCTTTTTTCTTTTGCACAAATTATTTTCTCCAAATAAATCTTTGACAAAGCTATTTTAAAGGCTACTCCAAACTGTTATAAGTCTTGTATTGCTTGATCTCCATCTTCTATGTCGTTCTGCAACTGTTTCATCAACCACATGATAGTTGGTCTTGCTAATTGCAGAATTCTAGTCATATGGCGCTTGTTCGGTCTTTCCAGTTAGCCTTCTCTCTAAGGACTATTTCGATGGATAAAGAAGGTGAGTTGGGTTCACTATCCAGTTCCACCATCTTACGAACTTGGGGAGCGCAAGCTTACAGTTATTTAGTTGGGGTCAGACATAAGTTTTGACATCAGTAATACGACCTAATAAAAACTTCAATCACTTCAGAAGTTCCTGACTGGGTTGTCGATGATCAATACTGTATCTTACAGTGAAATTTCTGGTTTTACCAGCATTAATGTCTTTGGTGCAAATACTGACTATCGTTTTACTCACTGATTACTGAAGGAGGTTTACAACCATCTCGAAGGAGGTCTCTATTTACTTTGGCATCATATATGCTCATCTGTTCAGCAAGGGCGGGCAATCTCCCTGAACTAAGTCGTGTGGTTAAATCATCACTGACAGATGAAATGGTTAATCTCCCAAAACTCTTTGTGTTTATGTTCTGTTTGTTGGATAAGTAGTTGATTTCTTCCAATCTTGCTGTTAGGCCTAATCTGATCAGCTCTCCATGTTTTCTAATATATATAGTTTGTTTAAATTCTAATCATGTCATAAATGTTTGGTTAAATAGGTTGATCCTTATCTTAAGTTGGGAGAAGATGTGAGGCTGCAAACGGCATCTGGTAGTGAAACATATGGTTATGGCTCACAGGAAGATGAAATTGCAGCTTTGCAATCCCTGTCAGCAGTAGAGTTAAACGATGAAAAATTTAAAGAAATCATTATGTTGCACTTCACATCTAAATGCGGAATATTGTCAGAGGTATTAACTTTCTTAGCTTTCTCAAACTTTTGATGTATGATGCAGGTTCGCAACCTCATAAGTGGTGGGGAATCTTTGTTTGCTTGCAAGACAGATTTATACACGCTAATGCTATCTTTTTGTGTCATTAACAGCTAGTTTGATTTGCTTGGTCAATACAATTATGATAGATAGGGAAGATTGTTTCAAAATAGAAAGAATGATGTAGGCAGCACTAATGAATCTTTCTCCTTACATTTGTACTTTTGGCAAGGAATCCACCTTTTATAGGTAGTTTGGTAAGTTTGATGGAAGATTGTGGTTGACTCGGGTTGAGTCATAGACACTACTTGTACATTCTTTTATGACACTGACTTGATGTTGTAAGAGTGAAGTTTATCAACTTCTCTAACTTCTTGTTTGGTTCTAAATCGCTCCTTTGTCGACTGATATAATAACATTGTGTCAATATAAGATGATTCAAAATGTTTCCTGAATTCTATGAAATTAATATTCATTGTCCACATACTTAGGCATTATTCTGAATAGTTATCATCAAAACTGGTTATTAAATCTTTTTAGTGTCCAAAGCGAACTATTGGAGAGTCTCCTTCTCTCAGACTCGCTAAACTGCTTCCATTAGTTTTCTGCTACTGAACGATGAGAGTATTTTATTGGAGCATAATCTGCTCTAGTTACAAACATGTGTGCCACTGTTTATGCGAATTCATAGGAAAATGGATCCACTGTCAATATATTCTCATGTTTTCCTTTTCTGTAAAAAGTCTCTGGGAATGGAGAAACTATTGGTAGGGAGCGCTTCTTTAATGGGCACTAGTTTGCGTGAATCTGGATTAGTCGGGCTAGTGGGTTCTTGATACCAGATGGTTATACCAAAAAAATCCCTCTTATGGATCTTAAACTATTAAATAAATGAGTTTCTTAGTACAGGATTTGTTCTCATCTTCTTCTAGAACAGGACGTTTAATCTTGGCTACTGTTTTCCAGGATGAGTTACCAAGCATAAGAAAACAACTCCTGGAAAGGTTTGAACCAGACGATGCATATCCACTTGGGATTCCTCTGTATATGGAAACGCCTCACCCCTGCTCTCCACTTGCTCAGATTGAGTTCGAGACTTTTGATGAGGTTGTAGAGGAACCATTTTGTGTATTTGAGATATACATTTATGATTTATTTATGTCTAGTTGGTTACTATTTTTTCTTTTTGTGATGTCTTGAACTTTCTCCCACCCCAATGACATGACTTTCAAATATGCTTTCTAAGAGAGGTAATTGTGTTTCTTTACTCTATCAGGTCATGGCACCACCTTCCCTCATAGATGAAGAAACAATTTCAGATGCTAATGGAAGCCAATCAGGTCGAAAGACATCTATGTCTATCAATTCCCTTGACATTCTAAGTGTTAACCAACTTTTGGAATCGGTGAGTAACTGCTTTGAAGAACATGTTCAGGAATATTTGTGGAGTTGTTTATGTTCTAGATTAGTCAATGGTTCGGCTTACTTACATATTTTGACATTTAAACTTTGAAAATCCACTTGGTCCTTGCATCATTTCAACGAGACTACAAAGGGGGAAAGATTAGAGAAACATGTTTGTATACTCGTCTTTACGGGGACATCTATGGTTCAGCCTATCTCTTGTCTTCCCATTGGTGAGGCATAGTTGCCAAACAGGACGAAATTGAATGATCTCCAACGCCCCATTGTATCTGTGTTCAGGCATGACAGTGGTGCCGATCAGGATACATGACTGAGTCTTCGTGTTCCCGGGGCTAGACCTCGCATTCGCGAGACTTGGTAGCTTAGTGGGCAGCCTTTGCTGGGGAACCCTCGTGTTCATGAGAAACTAGAAAAAAAAAATCTGCAATGTTCAAATCACGTTTTTCTTGTCTAAAACTCACCGGAGCCCCTTGGGTCCCACTTTGAGCCATACTAACAAGTACCAAAAGAAACATATGAACCTATGAGAAGTTTCAAAATATGATGGTATAAATACTCAAAACGAGGGGGGTAAGATGTTACACCTTAGTTCAAGGGATTACGAGTAACCAACAAATCTTTATTAGGTGAGATCTAAATGCTCTTGAAGGTAAATTTTATGATGATTTTGACTAAGAGTTTGTTTTCCATTGCTGCTAAAAACTACTTATTTTTAGAAGCACTTTTTAAAAATAGCTTTACAGAAAAGTGCTTTTGAAAAAAATAAATTTGTGTTTGTCTAATTCATTTGAAAAGTGCTTTGGATAAACAAATTGTGTTTGGCAAATCTTTTTTAAAAGGTGCTTTTGAGAGTCAAATTACGAAAAAGGGCAAGTATCAATGTATATTTAATATTAAGATTATTTTATAGAGAGAAATATTTTAAATATCTATTACAAAATTTTAATTAAATTTTATATTAATTAAATTAAAATGTACATATTCAAATTTTCAATCAATATTATACATAGATAAATAAATAAATTAAATTAAATATTAATATAATAATAACTTGATGATTTGAATATAATTACAAATATCAAGAAAAATAAATTTAAAAACCATTCCACAAATTAAATCACTACATACAAAATATAATATTATTTTCTTAAAAACCATTCTACATAGAAAAAATTACTCGTGCAAAAATGTTGTTGTTACCTTTATTTCTATTTTGTAAAATAATACGTAAAATAATATATAAAATAAAAAAAATAATATATAAAAATAAAAAATAAAATTCTTGAATGATACTTAACCAAATTTGTGAGATATTGTAATTAATTAATAAGGGATATATTGGTGAATATGTATATATGGAAGAGGTATTTTAGTCTTCAAAAAAATAATTTTCTACTTCTGCTTCTGCTTTTTTTAAGAAGCAGAAATGTTTAGCTTCTTCCCAACCGCAGAAAATCTGCTTCCGCTTCCATTTAAAAACAGTTTTTAAAGATTTCTCAAAAAAAAAAACAGTTTTTTTCTTAAAAAAACACTTTTTGCCTCCCAACAGCAATGCCAAACAGGTTATAAGTATATATATAACTAGTAAAATTACCCACGCCTTGCACGGGAATTTAATATCACAAAATTTATAAAATAATACTTAAAACCTATCAGTGACTAAAACTAAAACACTATATTATCTTACACACAAGATTACGTAGTAACGAACATTAATAATGTAAAGGAAAATGGTAATTATAACATCTTATCATTTATCCTTCAATCAATCATCTTTAATTTGATTTTATAATTTATCCTTTGCTTGCGGAAGTGCTACTATTTGATATTTTTGGGGAATCAAATGAATATCAACATGAGATATTAAATTTTCTAATAAATAAATAATCGTTGGTAAAGGGATAAATAAATTTTAAAAGGTTGAAAAAAAGTTATCACATGTTCTAATTCTAACGTGTAGAAAGTTCAGCCCTACCTTTTGAATTACATATATCATCCTTGAACCCATGTAGAAAGTTTATTAATTCTTGTCTTCTTTTCCTGGTTCACTTCGCACATCAAGGTGCGATAAAGTTTTTAAGGTCTTTATGTCCTTACAATGACATACCAAAATGGAATTTTGTCTTCAAGAAATAGTAGTATAGATCTTTAAGGAATTTTTTTATTGTACCTTCAACAATTTCAGTAGAGAAAACTTGTGTGAATACTCAATTAACATGTGTTATTTACTCTGTACTAACAAATACTTAAAACAATAATTTTACAGAAACATAAACAACAAAGTTTAAAACATGTACTCAAAAACAACAATTAATAACATAAGCCTAAATTAATGACTATAAAAAAACATACCAGGATCTGTAACAATAGAATGAAACAAAAAGGAAAAAATCGAGTCCACTAAATGCACAGTGTCTCTTTAAGAAAATTATTCCCCTCTAGTACTCGAGGTTTAAAAGAATAGATCCTCTCAGGATAGAACGATTCAATTCAACTGTATTGATTCAAAAATAATGGTGTTAGTGAGTCACTCAACAGGAGCAAAGTACACGAATATTTAATTGTGCAGAAGAAGAAGTAGTTTAGAATTTTGGTTGTTTAAAATGAGAGGACATCCCCCTATTTATAGACAACAAAGGGTAGTGTGAACAAATGCTTATTGTTCCTTATTGGAAAGGTTACAACTCTTCGGAAAAGTTACAAACCTTTCATAAAAGTCACAACTTTCATAAAAGTCACAACTTTCATAAAAGTCGCAACTCTTCATAAAAGTCATAATTTTTCATGAAAGAGGAAGGCTAGTTTTGGAAATAAATAAATTAAAAGGGAATCTTGGTTTGTGGTGGCGCCACATAGGTGGACCTATGGTTCTCTTTTATATATATATATATATATATATATATATATATATGATTATGGTCCTAGGAATGATGAAGGAAAGGCTATTCTAGAGTTTGTTTTAGCTTATGATTTACACGGGGTATGTTGATGTTGTTTTAGCTTATGATTTAGTGAGTGAACCATATTCAAATGGATTTATCCTTAGAAGAAGATATGATAAAACCAAATGTACGAACTGTAGGGTCATACCCGGAGAAGCTATGACCGCCCAATGAGGGTGGTTGTCTTGATGCACAGCGTAAGAGTATAGTGTTAAAAAGACCTAGCAAGCTATCAAGAATTCTGTGGTAGGCACTAAAAGACAGCGTTGAAGAAGCGCTACGGAAAGGAGTTAAAATGGGCCATAGAAGGCAAGAAAGACATCTCGTGGTAGAAAATATCAAGTTGCATTAAAAAGCAACAAGTGAAGTGTTAGGTGTGTCTAGAGGTTTAATACCTCGATCACTAGAATTCTGGTGGTGGTGAATCACGAGGTGCAAAGAGTTATTTGAGCCAAAAAAGAGTGGTATATAAAGTTACTAAAAGTAGAAGGCTGAGAAGCCTTTGAAGAATATACGAGAGCTAAGAAGGGAAGTTAAGAAGGCTATTTGTAAAGCTCAAGGGAAAGCCTTAGATGGGTTGTATCAAAAGCTCGGGACGAGAAGGGATACAATGCTCAACTACTGACTCCTTCCGGAATTGCATTATCAGAAGCTAGCCAAGAATGGCCGTTAGTGGACACCCACCACTTTCTACCGATTAGAGAGGCTCTCTGTACTTTTATAAAAGATACTCACAGGGGCTAGAAAGACTTGGTCATAGGAATTTAGAACATGTAAAACGTTTTGTCTAGTGCACATCCTTTTGTTGATCCCTCATGTTATCGATGTCAAGTAACAAAGGAAACATTTAAAGGAGGCAACTGATGTCAAGATACGTGAGAGTCATGGTGTCACCTTTAAAAGTGTCTATGCTTTACAAGAGCATTACCTAAGAAATAAGGAACTTTTAAGGCTAGGAAAGGATAGAATTCCAATGCCTGATTGAATTTCTTCACAAACAAAACACACCACATGATCTCCTGATGTCTGGAGCAGGTGGCGGTGGGGGGACAAAGGAGTTTTTTCTGAAGTTGTATTATGAGAAGCTCTTCTTAACCTGGTAGGGATTGCCTTTCCATATATCTCAGTTTGGCTCCTTAAGAGAAATAGGAGTTTTTTCCCAAGTCATATTTTGAGAAGTTCTTAACCTGGGAGGGATTGCCTTTCCATATACCTCAGAGGTTCCTTTGTGTATAGAAGATGGGGTGTCATTCGCAAAAAACATATCTTTTTTTTTTTTGGTTTTGTACCTTCTGATATACTTCTTGGATTTCAGTGCTTTTGCCCAGACATTCAGTAAAACTTTATTACTTCATCAAAAATAAGAAACTAAAAATTAAGAAAAGGAGGAGCTGGGATAATGCTGTAGAAAAATAAGTTCCTGTAAACAACTATGACTTGGGAGAATTTCACTTCTGATGATCTCTAAGTTAAAGAAATTGAACAGCTCATGTTACATGTCATTCCACATGCATAGTTACTTGGTAATTCTTTTTGTTTAACATTTTCAAATTGGCTGTGGGACTGTGAACTATAAGATCAGTAGCATGTTCCTGTATAACACTATCTCTTGCACATGTAGGTTCTGGAAACTGCCCGACAAGTTGCAAGCTACCCAACTTCCTCTACACCGATACCCTATGACCAAGTAAAAAATCAGTGTGAGGCCCTTGTTACTGGTAAACAACACAAGATGTCATCCCTTCAGAGTTTCAAGATGCAACAGGAAACCAAGGCATTAATATCCTACAATGAAAATGACAGGAAGAACCCTTCTTTACCAAAGATGGTGAGAATCACTCTGTTTGTCCCTCTATCAGTTGGTCTATCCAAGCTTTTTTGTGCTTGAATGATATATTTGCTTATCATAATGTATTTTCTTATAAACTGGATAGCTAAATAGCTGTTAATTGATAAATAGAGCTTTAAGTGCTGCAATATCCTGGGATGCAGCTTTATTGGTGACTAGTCTTCCCAACAAAAAAGTTACAGTACAAAATGTCAGAGGATTTATAGCATTCCATTAAACTTACCTGCCAGCATATAACTTTGATCACACCAAACTATAGGGAAGTTGAAGAGCTCTTCTTTCTCAAATGAGATTGAAGTAGAGAGCTCCATATGTGGAATGAGCAGAGTTCATTCAGATCCTCTAACATATTCAATCTTTTTTAGTGGTTTCCCGAAACTTTAGAATGTGAGAATAAATATCTGAATATGTGAAACTTTTCAATGTCGTTTGGCTCCAAGTATCCAACTTCATAGGATTCGTACCATGAACGTCCAGTCTACTTATAGATATTGATTGTAGGGCCTTGACATAACTGAGAATTTGAGGTGTTCAGATTTGCTACCTCTGTCCCATATTATGTGATGAATAGACGAGATAAACGTGGTGCTTAACAAGCACCAAGGTCTAATACAATTTTTTTTTTGATAAAGGTAAAGTTGTATTCCTGAGGGTATGCTGGCAACCACCAAAAAGATTTACATCAGTGACCCAAAAAAAACCAACTCAAGAGAGCTGCTACTAAACTTATAAAGAAGAAAAAAAGTTTAAAATCTGTCCAGCATCCTCTATACCCTCCTCTTTACACCAAAACAAGAAAGTCTTCATACAATGCCATTTGATCTGTTGCACTGATTCTGCAGTATTTTCAAGACCCCTCTTGTTTCTTTCTCTCCAAATAGTCCACCATAAACAAGAGGGTATCATGTCCCAAGAACCTCAAGAAGTCCAATAATCCACTCAAGATTAGGAATTATTGCTTTCTGAAATATTAGGATTTCTTGTTTCTTGTTCCTTAGTTGTGCGGTTCATGTTTAGTAGGATTATATTTGTAGTTCTAGTCAAACTTGGTTTGTTAGTAGTGTTGAAGAGTCCCACATCAGGTGAAAAAGGGATGAGTGATCTCCTTATATGGTCTTGGGCAATTTTCCTCTCATGAGCTAGCTTTTGGGGTTGAGTTAGGCACAAGGACCATTTCTTTAACAGAATGTCAGAGCAGGACCCACCCCAATTCTTGTTTACCAGTGTTGGGGCCCCATATTTAATTTCCCATGCTCCAGATGTCTAGTCCTAGGCGTAAGGTGGTGTGTTCAGAAGTCCCACATCAGATAAAAAAGGTATGGGTGGTCTCCTTATATTGTCTTGGACAATCCTCCCCGCATGAGCTAGCTTTGGGATGGTTGAGTTAAGCCCAAGGTCCATTTCTTTAACCAGTAGTATGTCATTCAAACTCATTCTCAAAAAAAGTATGTCATTCAAACTAGGATTGTGAGATAGTATTCCGTTCCTACGAGAATCCTTGTTCCTAGTTTAGCTAGGATAGGGTTTCCTTAACCTCATCAATTTTACTCATTGTAAGGCCTATTTAAGTGCTCATTCTGCTGAAAATAACATTGGTGATCAGTGTTTTAAGTGGCTGCTTCAGAAACATGGTTAAACATTCTTGTCCTTCTTCTTCCTTTATTTGAAGCTTCTCACAGTCTTGCGGGATGGAGGAACGTGTGAATATAAGGTTCTTCTTCATTATATATTCTTCTTATGTGAGTTTGAAGAACGCTTATGCTAGTTTTGTGAAAAAACATTAGTGGGAGTGCTTTTGTTTCTACTTTCTTTGTGCTTGAGAGGTGCAAAACCTCGAAAGTACATGACTGTTACCTTCTCAAAAAAAAAAAAAGACCTCGAAAGTACATCAGTTTTGGTATTAGAGCCCAATTTTAGAGTCTTGATTTGCTATCTTGGTCATCATATCGATGGAGAAGCAAGTAGTAGGTTTGGGACCCTCTTCAATCGATGATCAATTTCAGATTGAGAAATTAAGGATCAATAGCCCTTGAATGTGAAAATAAAGAAATAAAAGTGCAATTTGATGGTTTGATGGAATCAATGGAACATCAGAACTGGTTGAATATTTGGTGCTTTAGAGTCAGCCACCAAATTTGCTATATCTCCTACAACGTTCATCACTGCCACCCCCAACAGTACAATATACTGCTGCAACATCCCCCACTTCAAAATCCAACACTTCAACCACGAGCAAGCATCTACAGCAAGCTGAAGAGCTTGATGCTGACCAAGTTATGAGAGTACCGAGACGCCATGCTCAATATGAGAAAATTTCACACTCAGAATATTCAGATAATCAAGGCTGTAAGGAGGATGAAACTGATGAAGCTCAATATCAATGTGATAGAAGAAACCCCAAAGAAGGCCACACAACAATCAGGAGATGTATCAACGTGATGATATTAAGCATGAAATTTCGATTGCGATGGCAAATATCAAGATGATGAATTCATTGATTGACTTATAATTATTGAGATCATTTTTTTTGTTTTTTTTTTTTTTTGATGAAGTAAGAGTTGTTAATAACAAAGCATCGTGGGGATGCAAGAATTACAAAAGTTGAATAGGCAGCTCCTAGGAAGGACAAAAAGGAACCTACCATAGAACAAGGGAGCTGCCAAATTCCAAAAGGAGATCAGGGTTATACACAGGTGTAAGATTAAGCCAACAAAACAGTAAAACTAAACATTTGGCCTTAAGTCTAAAGCTTGCAGTTGATGTACCATCAAAACATCTTTGATTCCTTTCAAACCATAAACACCACAAAATAGTAGCAGGAACCATAGACCGGATCTTCGTAATAGGTTTCTCAACTTGCCAAGAATCCAACTAACAAAAACTTCTCTGATGTTGCTTGGCTTAACCCACTGTAGACCAAAAAGTGATAAGAACATAAACCACAGATCTGTAGCAACTAAACAGTGGATGAACATGTGGTTAGCTGTTTCTGAGCTGCAATTGCATAGATAACATCTATTTGCAAGTTGGAATCGTCTTTTGCTAAGGTTGTCCTGGGTTGAGCATGCATTTTTAAGGGCTAGCCAGCAGAAAGCACGACTTTAGGGGGTAATCTGATTTTCCAGATAAGCTTCCAGGGCCATTGATCAATCTGAGCTTTGTTAGAGCTAAGGAGCTGATAGTTACTTTAACGGAATAAATGTCCTCACTGTTGTTTCCCCATCTTAGCCTGTCATTGCACTGATGGTTGATAGCACTGTTGTAAGTGCCAAGCATAGCCATCATATCTTCTATATCCCAGTCATTGGGGTTCCTTCATAGGGTTGAGCACCACACATTTCCTTCCCAGTTCTGAGCTACAGTAGTGTCTGGATTAGTAGCAATTGAGAATAACACCCAGTTACCAGAGACCAGTTCTATTTTCCGTGGGAAAATGAGATCTGAATCTCTAATCAATATACAAGCCCAAAGGAAGCTGTTTCTTCTCATTGTGTCCTCATTTGAATCTATGAATCCCCCACAGTTATCTCCGATAAATCTGAGACTTCTTTCCTACTATTCATGCAACAGTATCCCAAAATCCCTAATCCATCTAGTTCCTGATCCTGTTCTTTCTGATTGAAACAAGTCGCCGGAGACCACCATTCAAGAAAGAGATGTCTCCAATTCTAGTACCAGACGCCAAATTGCACTCTCTGCCTACTGTCTCGATGGTAGTTCAAACAAGAAGAAGTTGTGACCCATAGTCGACACCTTCACCCCTGCTGCTGTTAATGACCAACGAGAAGTGAACCATTTTTGAATAGACTCTAAAGATGGGTTAAAGACTTGAAGCAAAAGGGATTATCAAAATAACCCACTAGACAGCAGGTCAGAAGTTGAGAACTCGTATTCGCAGGCCTGCCTGCCATTGCTCCGTATTTGCTGCTTGGATGTAGGTCTTATATGGTGAGACAAATCTATGAGAAGCTGGATTATTATTCCCCATGATTCTGAGGATCTTAGCCGCTACTTCTCTCCAGCCCAAGTTGTACTCCTCCGAGATTATGATAGCGGATTTCCTTTCACCATTCCATTAGACAAATGAATGAATCACCCGTAAGCATTGTAATTTTGGTAGACCCTATGTAATAAATTTTGTTGCTTCCTTCCCCATCTTTTGTATAAGTTACCTGCTCCCATCGACACCTGCTGTAAATTCTCACAAACCCGCCACAAATTGTTCTCGTCTATCTTAATCTTGCTGGTAAATAGATTGCTCCTTTCAGAGAGGAGAAACCATCTATAAAAACCCTCACTAACATCTGTAATAACAAAATATTTGATCCCTATCATGACTTCCAGATTCTCGCCCATACTGCGTTGAGGTTGAGCCTATGAGAGGCGTCACCGGAACTAAGAAATGAAGAAAAGTGTTTTGCGGTGATCAGAAGGACCACCGGAGTAGCTCCAACTAATTCAAAACTAGCTGTAGTGCATTACCTCAAAACTAGTGCCTCGGAGCTTTATGGATTCAATTACCCCAAGAAAGGGAAATATTTTGAGATTGTTTATTATAAAGAATTTTCTGATAAGAAGGTCAAGCTTGTTGCTCTCAAGCTCAGAGGTTATACGGATCAGTATGGTGGGAAAACCTCAAAAGGGATCGAGAATTTGATGGAAAAGCATGGATTCACACTGGGGAGAGGATTAAATGGGAATCGCACCAACAGTTCTTGCAAGAGACATACTAAGAGGATTCTTAATTGAATTTCATTCATTTTTTTGATAAGGAACTCATTATTCATGGATGAGTACACTAGAGAATTTGAAGATCTGAGGCTCAAAAGTGTTTTTAAAGGACAACCATCCTGCATAATTGCTCGATATTTGACTGGATTAAATTAGCCTATTGCAAATGTGATCCAATTGCATCCCCAAAAAATCTTTGGAGTTGTCAAACTAGCCAAGATTGTACAGACACAACAAAGGCAAGCCAAAGCATTTTCTTCATTAACTACCATTTAATTGCCAAACACTTTAAACTAGGTGAGATGTAGTTCTAGCTCGACAAAGCCACAATAATCTAATGCAAAACCAAGTCTAGAAAGTTGAAGGGAAGCCCATGACTTCAGGAGCTATTCTTAAAAAGAGAATGCCATAAATGTGGAGGATTTTAGGCATATACTAGCTGATTGTCCTACAAAAATGTGTTCTCCAACCTTGAAGGAGCAACCAAGGAATAAGATGATTATGAAGAGCAAACATGCTGATAAGTTGAAAGAATTAGAATATAGAGATGAGGGAGAATACCTTATGATTCAACATGTTCTTCATATAGATAAACCAAGGGGTAAGCATGGTTGTAGAAAATATCTTCCATACACGTATAAAAGAAGAGTTTGTATGCTCATTGTTGATTTTGGAAGTTGTACCAACGTAGTTTCTTACGAAATGGTTACTAAGTTGGGATTCGACACAAAGCTACTGCAAAAGTCATACAAGATGAGATGGTTGAATGATTGAATGAATGTGCAAGTTAATAAACAATGACTTTTTTCATTCTCTATTGGAAGGAAATAGAAATATATAGATTTTCCCCCAATAACCGGATACTTTTGTCGGTAAATATAACATATTTGAGTCCATCCATAAATTGATCTTCTTTCCTATAAGTTATAGTCTTAATAAGAATTGTTCCGTCTACTTTTAACTTTTAAGACCTATCTAAAAAGAATCCTGTGTGATCTAATGCCTATGGATGCTTTCCACCTTCTTGGAAACAATGTTGTCAAAGGAACGCGTAAGCCCTAAAGTGAGGTTCAAAACACGTTGAGCGCTTCGCCTCGCTTAATGAGCACTTCAATGTCATCATCAAGACTATAAGACAACTTTTCTTTCTTCAGCCCATCTCTACCTCTCCTCGTACCTACTATAACCAACTTTTTGCACTTCCTCACTAGGGCGTCTATGCATCTCCTCTTAATGTTCAAACCATCTCAATCTTGCTTCCCTCATCTTGTGCACCACCGAGGCCACTCCCACTTTATCTAAAATATCCTCGTTCCTAATCTTATTGCTCCTTGTACCCACACATCTACCTTAACATCCCTATTTCCATGACATGTCTTCTAAACATGGGAATCCTTGATTGGCCAACACTCTGCCACATACAACAAAGTCGGTCTAAACACCACTTTATAAAACTTACCTTTAAGTTTCGGTGGTATTTTTTATCACACAAGGCTCTGGATGCAAGCCTCTACTTCATCCACACCGCACTAATATGATGTGTCATATCATTATCGTTATCCCTACTTTCATGGATTATAGACCCAAGATACTTGAAACTATGTCTCTTGGGGATAGCCTGTGTGTCAGGCCTCACTTCCACACCTGCCTCTTGCATTGAATCACTAAATTTGCGCTTCAAATACTCTATTTTGGTCCTGCTTAACATGAACCCTTTAGACTCTAGAATTTGTCTCCACACCTATGTCATAGTAAATAACATACACCAAGGCACCTCATCTTGAATGGACCGCATCAATTCATCCATCATGTATCTGACCCATAAATCTTAATTCAATTGAAGCAGACCATGATATGTACTTGCTACTTACCCTTCAAGTTCAGTGTGGTAATAGTAGGAGAAAATGAAATGGAGGAAAAGGGTATACAATTTTCTATGGCTGATGGCTCTGATTCCATGTAGAATTAGAGAGAATATATAATAATTACAAGTGAATACAATTTGGTAAGTGTCTAATTACGAAATCAAATCAAATCAACCAATTAATAATAAATCTTGTACTATTTTAACAGTGACAGCGTGTTGCGTTTCTTAAAAAAAATAATTGTAATTGTTTTGCAATGGCAGATAGAAAGATTTTTGGAAAAAAGATTTGGGGTTACCAGACTACACTAAATGACGGATCATTTGACTAAAGTTTGTTGGGCTACTTTGCCTATCCTTTTCTGAAGAAAGGCACCAAAGTTTGACTTCACTGATAATTTATGTCAAGAATCACTAAGTTTTATTTTGGATAGTGAAATTATGAAAGAGGTGTATAGTCTATAATGATTTTTCAATAGCCAAATGACCCTCTTATCTTCTCAATATTTTAAGAGATTTTAAGGCACTGACCGATTTAGAGTAGAATATTTCTGTAAATTCAACATGATATGGAAACACCATCAGGATGGACTATTCTCAGTAAATAGGGTGTACAATAGAGGGCTGTCTGAAGTCAGGAAGTCGACAGGACCATGGACGTCTGTATGGAAGAGTGTAGCACCAACTAAGGTGAATTGCTTCATCTAGCTAGTTGACAGTACAGCTTGTTTGACTCATGAAGCCCTACAAAAAAGGGGAATCTACATTGCTTCAAGATGCTCATTATGTAGGAGGCTTTAGAAACAAACAACCACCTTTTCCTACATTGTAGAGTTGCACAACAAGTGTGGGTTTTAATTCATTAATTTGGCTAAGGTGAACTGGTCTATGCCAGTGCATACCGCTGATCTTTTAAGTTGTTGGTTGGATTAGGAGGGTGGTAGCAAGAGCCAGAAGATTTAGAGGAAAACCGTTCCTTCCTGTATTTGGTGGAAAACAGTACTTGCCTGTATTTGGTGGAACAGTTGGAAGGAAAGAAATGAAAGGATTTTTGAAGCAAGGAGAGCTCATACAGAAGATCAAGTGGAAGGTCATCCCTTCTTTATGTTTTTGGCGTAAAGAATAATGTATTAGAAGGGGAAGTTCAGTTAGTAGACTTCGTAGGATTACTGTAATTAGTTTCTACTAAGTGTAAATTTTCTGGAGGTGGCGAACATGCCCTTAATGCAAAGGAATACGAAGTTACCAGTTCCAAAAAAAAGTATTGCTAGAAATTCAAGTATTTAGGACTTCAAAAATAAGAAAACTGATTCCATCCATTTGGTCTAATTTTCTTGTTCTAGCTATGAACTATGTGGACTTGCTTCTATCTAGCTTTTGATCAATTTTTCTTTTGCTAAAACTGTGAGTTAGCATTTCAATAGATCATAATATTAGGACTTTATCTAGCCTATAGGTATTTTATAGGGAACCTTTTATGCTGTACATTATTTCTTTACAGAATATATATTTTTATCTCAAGTTTATAATTAGCCTAATACTACCACTCACTGCATAAAAGGTTTACTTTGAGATCATGCAAATCTACTTGACGTCTCTCTGGTTGAATCTAAATCCGCTTTGGCTGAAAGTTGGATCATTTCGATCCTACTAATCTAGAATTTTCATTTAGCTGAACTATAGAAGTACAAAAACTGGAATAGCCTTGCTCTCGCAGAATCCAGATTAGCCAATTTTCCTAAAACTATCTAAGGCATTCCGTTGCACATCAGTGGCCATGTAAATGTATGTATTAGCTACATGGAAAATGATGATCAATGCCCCTGTAATGGTTTCCAGTACATCGCTTAACTTTGATGAGAAAATTCTACAGGTGACACTGCTTCTGATGTGGAAAAAAAAAGAGAATGGTCTGTTAAAATAGGGATATCACTTTATTTATTTCTGTTGTGTTATAAATGTTTTCCTCAAGATCCTGCATATGGAGAGCATGGTCCTGAAATGTTAACGAGAATTATAAGCTGTTCCCTTTTGTGCAGGATATGGTGCTTCACCAGGATCTACAATTAACAACAGTTGAATCAACTCATACACAAAACTCTCTCTCTTGTTCTCGGGAGTATGGACAACAGTCCTTTAGGCTGCCACCTTCAAGCCCCTACGATAAGTTCTTGAAAGCAGCAGGATGCTGAGTTTGATGTTTTTACTTACACGTAGCTTCTAATACTTGTAAGTATTGTCTCAAGCATGTTCATATCTCGTCGTGCTCACCCAAAGAAGTGTCTTTCTAATGTAATTTAATTTGTATTGAGTTCATATTAATGTGAAGTGTGTAAGCTGGAAAACATAAGCGGAAATAATATATGAGAAAAGGAAAAGAGAAAGAAATGATGGTCTGTAGTGTCTTTCTACCTTTTTGTATCTTTGCTGAACTGGTATGTCTATAAGTGATGATCACATGGAAACCGTTTGTATCTTTACGAAGGGGACATTGATAATTTATGGTTTCTGGATGAAGTTTTCCAGGGTGTGTTTGCAACAAATTTTCAACGTATCCAAAATAAACTGCAATGACAAACAAGATTTTATTGGTGAATATTTGGATGCATAATTCTACATATTTCCTTGATTCTCTCCTCTAAGAATCTCCATGATTCGAGGGCTCAAACAATGTCCTTCTCGAACTTACGATGATGAGGACCTCCTTGTGATATATTTGGCGACACACTTCGTCTTTTCAGGTCGATCTTTCGAAAGAGCTCTGAACTACATAGTTGATGCTGGATTACACTTGTTGCAAATGCCTTTACCAACTACCAAAGGCTTTCTCCAATGCTAAATTACTCTAGAGAGGTTATATGACACCCCCTAAATAGTTGCAGTGGGTAGGCTGTTCCATTGCATATGAACTCTCTTGCTTGTTTTTTATTAGCTTACAAGATGGGCATGGCCTATGTTGAACACGAGCCCAACATTTTTATTCTCGACTTGCAATTAATTTTAAGATGTTAGGCATAGTTATATTTTGATGAAGGATAGTTGTGAAAACAAAATGGAAGAAGGAAAACACATGGAGAAACATAAAGTTAAAATTGCATAGTTTATATCCTAATATGGTTAATACTAATAAATGCTAGCTATATATGAAAAATGTTTGATGTCTAACAAATATGTTATAATAGAATACTTTAGTTTTAAGTAGGGGTGTACATGGTCGGGTTGATTCAGGTTTTTCAAATATCAAACCAAATCATTTGTGTTGGATTTTTAAATTTATAAACCAAATCAAATCAATAAAACTTGGGGTTTTTTTGGATTTTTTCAGGTTTTTCGGATTTTCGGATTTTTTCGGTAAAGTATTCATACAAACATACAATTTACTTGTACTTCAAATATTTCTTTAGTCCTACCAAAATACAACTATTTATGGCGTTTCTTAAGAAAATAACACAAAATATGATATGATTAATGACACAAAAATATCCAACAAAAAATTCATAATAATGAAATCGCGTAAAACAAATATTGCAAATTAACAAGTCATAATGAAAATGATCATAATTTAAAAGTACTAAATCATGTTAAAATAAGTTTAATAAGTATTAGTTACATGACTAAATATTAAAGGAAATTAAAATTAGATTATGTATTTTAATTGTCTAAGCTAATGTAAAACTAAAGAACAAATATTCAATATTATTGAGATTTTTAGTGTTGAATTGATTTTCTTTTTGCATTAGTATTAATTTGATTTTGATTTAAGTTTTATTATAATTATCATCATCTGTGGACTATAATTTTTATTAAACCATTCAAAATTCTAAGTTTCAAACTTGAAATAAAATATTAAAAGATAAGAACTATGAAAAAGTATAAGAAATATTTAAAAATCATATGAAAGTAAATATTTTTATGTATAAAATAAAATTTTAAAATTATATATATAATGTCGGGTTGGTTTTTTTTAGTTCAAACCAAACCAACCCAATTATAGTCGATTTTCTTTTTCAATACCAAACCACTAGTCGGATTTTTTTTTTTCCGATTTGACTCAATTTGCAATTTGATTCGATTTTTGTACACCCCTAGTTTTAAGTACATTAAAGAACACCTTTTTAGATAGAATAGGCATTCCAAATATCAATAGAAAAACAACGAATACAAAATAACACAAACAAGTTACGAATAAAACTGTTCATTATATACCCGGATAGAGAGAAAATGTCATAAATAGTCTCTTAACTATAGGAGTAGGTCTAAAATGGTCTCTTAATTATACTTTTGTCGATTTTAGTCCTTTAACTACTCAAAAACTTATCAGTTTTGGTTCCTAACTCTACACTTACCAGTTTTAGTTCTTTAGTATTCAAAAATTTATCAGTTTTGGTCTATTAACTATACAATTACCGATTTAGTCCTTTAAGTATTCAAAAACTTATCATGTTTGGTCTTTGTCCATTTTTAATACAAATAGCTCAGGTTTATACTAACGAAACTTTTGGTGAACTTAAATCTTTAACCCATTTTATCAGCTTTGGTCCCTTAACTATACAATTACCACTACTTTTTCTTCAAATTGTTCTTATGAAAAGAACAATAACCTCAACAATTCAAAATAAAATTAATGAGGAAAGAAGCTATAAGTCCTAATTTTATTCAATGGAGGATAAAATGAAGTATAAAATTGTTGCTAATGGCTTGAATAGTTGTGATCCCTTCTTTGGCGGTTAACAGTTCATAATCAGCGCAAATTTTTTTAATTTTATTTTTCATACAAAAAAATAATAAGAGATTTGATCTTATTATTCAAACTAGTAAAATTATCCGCGCTTCACGCGAAATTTAATATCACGGAATTTATAAAATAATACTTAAAACATATCCATCATTAAAACTAAAACACTATATTATTTTACATACAAGATTACGTAGTAGCGAACATTAATAATGTAAAGAAAAATAAAAATTATAACATCTTATCATTTATCCTTAATAACATAAGCATGAATTTATGACTGTTAAAAAAAATACCAAGATATGTAACATAAACAATGGTGTCAGTGAGTCACTCAACATGAGCAAAGTATACGAATGTTTAATTGTGAAGAAGAATAAGAAGTTCAGAAATTTCGTTGTTTTAAAATGAGAGGAAATCCCTCTATCTATAGACAACAAAGGGTAGTGTGAACAAATATTTATTGTGCCTTATCAGAAATGTCACAACTCTTTGAAAAAGTTACAACCATTCGAAAAGGGCATGACCTTTTATAAAAGTCACAACTTTTCATGAAAGTCACAACTCTTCATAAAAGTCCCAACTTTTCATAAAAGTCGCAACTTTTCATGAAAAAGGAATACTAATTTTGTAAATAAATAAATTAAAAGGGAATTCTGGTTTGTGATGGTGCCACATAGGCGGACCTAGAGTTCTCTTATATATATATATATATATAAATATATGATATGATTGTGCTACGTAAAATAAAATGAATAGAATAATAAAATCAATCCATTTGAAAATAAAAATAAAAAATGGTTGTATATCTACCATTTTATAAAGGTCATTTTACATAAGTAATATATATTAGCTTCATAATTAGCATTTATAGTAATAGAATGTAATTTACCATCTATAACATTACTTCTTCTTCTTCTTTTACAATTTGTCTTTCCTCTCTCTCTTTCCTTCTTCTCATTTCTTTTTTGTCCGTCTTTCTCTTTTTCTCTCTCCCCTTTTTCTCTTTTTTTTTCTTGTCAATCTTTCTCTCTTTTTTTAAAAAAATTAATTAATTATCCTAATTTAAAACTTAATTTTAGATTGGGTATTACGTATTACTATTCTTTAAATTAGAAGATTTTTTAAAAACAGATGCATATAGAATGCATTTCTAACACAATTCTAATACATTGACATATAAACTAATTTAGTGGTTGAATGTTTGAAATTCAGGTATAATATATTTTGACATTATTAATAAAAGAAAATGATATAAATGATAATTTAATACATTTTGAATTCAATATATTATACATATTATAAACTTATTTCAATGCACATGGTGAACATATCTAAAATATTTTTAATAAAAGAAAATGATATAAATGATAATTTTAATACATTTTGAATTCAATATATTATACATATTATAAACTTATTTCAATGCACATGGTGAACATATCTAAAATATTTTTAATAAAATAATATATTTTAGCACCATTAACAAAAGAAAAAAATATACAACAATTATAATACATTTAACTTAATATTTTATACATATTATACGCATGTTTCAATACATATGGTGAATATATAACTAAAACATGTTTAATACAAATGTATTATAAGTATTATATGTGAATTTAAACATTTTGGTACTATTTAAATTAGTTTATATTGTTGAAAATATATTATATTTGTTCTGGAATATCTAATTCATAATAATGTGTCATATCAAATTCGAATTGTATTATAACAATCATTATATTTAATACAATTTTAATACAACTTTTCAAAGATTCACTTCTTCTTTTTCGGTAAGTCACCACCACTAGACCACCGATTGTTTATATTTAATACAATTTTGATACAACTTCAATAAAATTATTTAGAACTTCACCTAATATACAATTTTAATACAAATTTATATCAAATGGTTATTTAAGCTAAAGTTATGTCGTATATGGTAATAAAAAAAATAAAGTAATACTCAAAAGCGTAATTAATCAAATAAAAAATATTATTTATGTAAAAAATCCTTTTATAAATTTCAACTTCTGAAAAATTAAACAAATTCCCTTCAATAAAGTCATTGGAGTACAATTTTTGAATTCAACATGTAATAATTTTTTTCTTTTTATAACTAAGTTTAGCATATTGAAGTCATTAGTAGCAATAATATGCCTCATTTTATCGTCCATTAAATAAATTATGACTTATATATTTTCCTCATGAATTTTATTTGAATCGTTGAGTTAAGGTTCTTTGTATAAGGGTAATTTGAAGTAAAAGTAGCGGGGAGAGTGAAACAACTGAAAAAATTGCTAAGAGATTTAATTTCTCGAGACATGGATTCCATTAATATAAACTTAAGTTATTTGTATAAAATTGGATAGAGACCAAACCTGATAGGTTTTTAAATACTTAAAGGACTAAAAATGATAATGTATATTTAAGGAACTAAAACCGATAAATGTATAGTTAAGGGACCAAATCTGATAAGTTTTTGAATAGTTGAAGGATTGAATCCGACAAAAGAATAGTTAAGGGGTTATTTTAGACCTACTCCTATAGTTAAAGGACTATTTATGACATTTTCTCCCTAGATAGACACTATCAATCCGAGATCACTAAAGCTCTATAGTTGACCATCTTCATATTTCCTCGTAACATACATTTGGTAAATCCATCTTAATAATATGAAGCTTTAAAGATTCAACAAATCAAGAAAAGAGACACATAACATTGAAAACTCCACATAAGGCCATAATCTTTTTGCTCAAGCATTTTACAAAGCAACATATTTTACTATAACCTACCTAATGTGAAAATAAGTATAGTAAGCCTTTTAATAAAGTTTCTCTAGGATAAATTCTCTTGTAGGGAGAATCTCCACGATAATTCACCTTTATAAGATTCAACTTTAAGCAAGTTTTTGGATCTCGAAGATTAATTCTCTAGCATTGTCTATTTCACATACTTTCAACCATCAGTAATGAAGAAGTTCGACTTTAGCATGTCAAACAAATCATTTTTATTTTCTGGAAGAAAGAATTTAAGAAGCCCCAAGACAAAACCATGAGAATCATAAAATTGAACTTGATAGTAACGCATCACTGAGAAAATTCAGTAAAAATAATTATCTCAAATAGTGGTGTTTACCGTCTTTCTATTATTCCATGTGTTGCTTCTCTTTTAATTTCTTCTTTCTCTTAGTTCACCAAAGGAACAAAATACAATGGATTAGCTATTTCTAGTGGATTTCCTAAAGCAAGTAAGATGGGGAGAGATCCAGAGAAACTTACAATGAAGTAATAATAAATTATTAAGCCCATAAAATGCACAAACTTCAATGGTAAAGGACACTATGGCTTGGGGTAACATAGAATTATAGAAGGAAACTCAGTGTCGATGAGACTTTTCTTTGCGAAAACAATTTTCGGAGGATAAATTTATCAAAAAATTCTTAAATACATGAGCTATAAGACTTATCAAAGCGTAAAAAAAGGTCAGATCATCGGTGGCCCTTTAAAGTTGGCACCAAATTTCACTTAGACACCTTAATTAAGTGATGTTCATTTTAGACACCTCATGTAGGGTTTCGTTGTGTTATTTTGACACTTTTTAACAATCAGCCAAAATATATAATGGATGTGTTATACTCGTGAATGACATGTAAAGTAACGAATTAAATGACGACATTTGTTATTCGTATTCAAAATAATTATTAAGAATTTTGAATAAAGATAAAAAATGACCATTGAGTCAATGACATAGTGGCATTTTTCCCAAATAATTTTCAAAAAAAGAGGTTTGACTAATTGAAAAAAATGCAGAAGCAGCCCACCCCACCACCCCACCACGCCACCCCTGCTTGATCGTCATCTCCCAAAAAGTGTTAACGATTTGGAAGAGGACAGTCAGTTCTCTGCTCTCTTTTTTTTGGTTTATTTTTTATTTTTTAAATTCTTTACTTAACAATAATTTGTGAGTTAAATATGATTTTCAATCACCATTTACTTTATTTCTTCAGATCTGAAAAATATTTTCACCCCTTTGTTCACAAGAAAAATGGAGATCCACCATCGCCACTATTCTCTTTATCTCTCCTTCCTTTTATTCTACTAAATCGTATTTTATCTAAAATTAAAATTATCAAATTTTTCAATATTTAAATTTTGAAATGGGTCTGTTCCTAAATTTCTAATGAATTTGAATAAAAAAGTCAAACCTCCATTGAAGGAGTTTAAGCTTGAAAAGTGGTGGGAGATGGTGACTTGAGAAATGAAGAAGAAGAGAAAATAATAATTAAAAAAAAGGCTAAATCTAAACTTTCATGCGCCATTGTTGAGTGTATCATACTCACTTTGACATGTCATAAAAAAATATTGAAATGACATAGTAAAACCCTATATGAGGTGTCTGAAATGAATATTGTTCAGTTAATGTGTCTAAGTGAAACTTGGTCCCAATTTTAGGGGGTTACCGATGGGTTTGGCCCGTAAAAAAAGTCTAATTCATCGATAACCCCTTAAAGTTGGTACTATATTTCACTTAGACACCTTAAATGAGCGTTGTTCATTTTAAACACCTAATGTAAGGTCCCGCTGGATCATTTTAACACTTTTTGCACAGCTGGCATCCGTTTGCTTTTCACTCATCCAAGGTGTGTAAACATATTTTTTTTCATCTGATGTGGCGTCCAACTAGGCTTTTAACGGTAATATTACTCCATTTCATTTATTTATAACCTTTCTTCTTCAATTGTACCTCAAGTAAGAACAAAATTTCTCCCTTCTTCTCCAATTTCTCTCTTCTTCATCCATCCTTTCTTTAATTCTTTCATGTCGAGCTTCTCCAATTTTTTCATGGTATCTATGGATGAAGGTTGATATTGTAGATTTGGTAATGAAGCATTATTAAAGACTTCGTGGATCCAATTAAATTCAGGGCATAAATTTTTTACTTGTAGAATTTTCAAGGTAAAATTCTTTCTTTATTTTCTATAAGTCTATTAGATGATTAATTGTTGGCATCTAATTTTTTTTTGATTGATTTTATAGAAAATGGGTGGCTATGACTATTTTCATTGGCATGAAGATTGACACCCTCCTCAAGCAAACAGGATGATGTGGGGTTTGTTGAAGAAAGTCAAGGTTTCAGATGAAAAAATAAATCGAGCAAGAAATATATTTTTGTTGGTGTCATTGCTACTGGGTTTGGTGATGTTTGGAATATGGACATTGAATCCTAATTTCCAGTGTTCTTGAGGTCTAGTAGTATTTACCTTTAGTGTTCGGCCTAGTAATATTTTAATGTTGTTGTTGCTGTAAATTTCTGATGTAAATGTGCATTTTGGATGAAATGAAATTCTATGTTATTATAGCAGTAAAGCTGTTGTTTTGGCTACATTCACAAATCCACTCTCACAATGTAATACCAAAAGCAAATTCATCACAATTTGTCATAAGCTCTGAACCTCTGAACATGTATCATTTTCACGGATCCAACATATTATAAATGTCCATTTTATTCCGAGATCATTAATCATGACTTTCAAGTTTATGAATGACATTTTCACTAGTGGGTCAATCAAATTCTCTAAGATTTTATCCCCGAATGAATTTTGCGGTATCGAAACATTCTTTAAATTAATAATTTTAATTTATCGATTAAATAATACTTCTACTAAATAATAATATTTCATGATCTCACCTATATTAATTTAATGAGATTTTACTGTACATCCCAATTACGAACCAAACATTAATCTATACAGCCCAAAATAAACACTATAATTCACATGTGGGTATTGATTAGTGATCGGACATAAAAATCGAGAATTTTTTGTTTGAAATTTCAATATATATATTTGATTTTATTTACTTGTGGGATTTATATTTTCATGACATAAAAAAAATTGTTATTTCTAATTTTTTTTTAATAATAAATTTAATTGAGTGATTTTATTGATACAAAAATCTAACTTGGGTGATTTTATTGATACAAAAATCTAACTTGAGTGATTTTATTGAGATAGAATAAAATTCAATAACCTTAGTAGATAATAAATAAATGTGAGAATACTGTCACTAGAACGAACCACACAAATAGATGTGATCTATGCATAGTCATTTCAGGTCTACACAATTTGAAGATAGTTGTTAAAAAATTAATACACTATAACCTAATTCTGAAAATTGAGATCTCAACCATATGAAACAAGAAATAGGAAATTGGAGGTTTACAAAACTTCCTTGTATAAAAAAAAAGTCATTAATCAAGTAAAGTGATGATTTCTGAGTTTCTTTTTCTTTTTGTTGGAGGGAGGGGTTTGTGGCCTTTGATATTGAATGAAATAATGTGTAAATTAAAAATAAGGTGGAGAGGTAGGGGAAGATTACATAGCAGTCAACAAAATGAGAATTTAAGAAACATTAGTCTATCAATTCATAAACAATGGATGCATTAAAAGAAAGTTGTGTCTGACATAATTGAAAAATAAAAAGAGTAAGTTGCTTAAGTAGTAATGAATCCATTCTCTATCATCCATGATGGAGAATGAATCTACTTGCTAGTTTACTACAATCCAAACATATTATATATAATAATAATAATATCAAATTACAGAGAAATGAAGATGACCTGAGTCCTAACCATGGTTGACATTCTAGTTGAAGAAGTACCCAAGAGACCCCAAAATATCTCCCTAGGGTAACTAACTTCACATGCATTGGAACTCCATCACCATTTAATGGAGTGGACTTCCTTATGATAAAAACATTTACCAAACAAAATCAATAGTATCCCTCCTATGTTTAAAGTAAAAGGGGGTTAAAATTACCCAATTCTAGCCCCCACCCCACACTTTTTACAACATTAAAAGAAAAACATCAACTGTTAGTTCAGGTAATCCCTCTTATCCTCAAGAGAGATTGCTGGCTTGTTAGATACAAAGAAAATTTTAAAAAAGATTTTCAAAAAGTAAATTGATCCTAGCTAGTCTAAGTTGTAAAATCCTAAGACTAGTTAATAGTTAGAAGTAACAAAAACTTGGGACATCATCCTCATGCCCATGATTTCACAAAACTTTTATAACATCTACAAGTTATATGTAAAGCTTAAGTTGGAGGGACTAGCCATCACATTAAGGTGAAGTTGAAAGGACTACAAGTTGAAATTTACATCAACTCTTTTCTTTCAAAAACTAAAACTAACTTGGGACATTTTAGTTGAGCCCTTGAGGGGCAAAATCTTCTTTAGCCTTTCCAATTAGGCTAAGTTTTTAGAGATAAAAAAAAAATGATGATCAACTAAGCTGTTTCGATAGCTTGAGATGATAATGATGATGACGATGATGATGCATATGCAATGCTTTGTTTCTCTTGAAGGAGCCTTTCCTTACAAGAGAAGAAATGGAAATGTGGAGATTGATTAAATTTTACTCCACACCCTATGTGGAGAAGCCCTTGTTCCATACGCGGGCTTCCTTCCATTAATTGAGAAAGAGAAAGATGCAAGAGAACCATGGTTAGGCCAAAGATCCTTCACGGAGGGAGGCATTTTATAGATCAATGTTGTATCGATCTCTCTTGACAATTATACCATCTAGATCTCTTAATGATGAGGAATCGGTGCACGCAGAGTCATTGTCACGCCTGTGGCACAGCAAAACAAACTGTCAAAGATATTAGTACCTACTCTCCTTAATTCCCATCATTGGTTATAATATAGATTGATTAATTAATTAATACACAAACCTGAATGCAGCGCAGGTGATGGAGCTAGGGGAAATTGGGGTACCATAGTGCTGTGTTGGGTAACCAGGACCAGCAGCAGCAGCAGCAGAATAGGGGAAGAGATGGTGTGGGTACTGAACACCATAGCCCTGGCTGGGTGTGTAGCAGCCATTGCCATTTCCTTCACCAAAATTCATGTATGGGTAAAATGCAGCAGCTGCACTTGATAACACACCACTAGCAGTAGCTGCACTCCCATACACTCCATATTGACTATTTCCTCCTCCATACACACTATAGTAACCCTGCACAAATTCAAACAATATGCATTTAGTTTTGCTTTCAAATCTGCAAAATCTTTCACCTTAATTAAACCCACTGAAACTCAATTTTTAAACTCATTTCTCATTGGATCAATTAGTGTAATACAACCATCTCCCAAGCCATTATGCCTTCTATAAAAATTTTAAAAAAAAAAAACGTGTGCTTAGGGTGAAGATATTGTTTGTACCATATGAAAGGTTATAGAAAAGAACAATTAGTTGCTACTATTGTTGAATTAGTAAATCTTTATAAAATTATGTGTATTTAAAAGTTTGTAGCCATAAACATTTATTTATTAAAAAAAAAACACAGAGATATTGATTTATCCATGTTGCATCTTACTGATATTCTGATATCTTGTTTATGGACAATGGTTTGCTCATTAGGTTAGATTGTATAAGAATTCAGAAATTTTGATAGTTTTCACAACTTGTGAAGTTGTGAATTTTCATGTTTGTGAGAAACAATACAAGATTTTCAAAATTGCTGGCTTAAGATAACAAAATTTAAAAATATGTCAATATTTCTTCCATTCATTTTTAATTATCTATCACATTAGGACTTGACACAACAATTAAAAAATAAAAATTGACATGATTATTTTACCATATTATCTCTATTATTTAATGTTTAATATTAGGTCATGAAAAATGATTTGAAGAGTAAGTAATTAATGTTACGGGTAAAATATGATTATTTCTTTTACCTTTTCTTGATATGTTAAAAATGACGAATAAAAGAAAATATATATTTTTAATATAATGAACAAGTAGAAAAAAAATAAAAAAAATAAAAATAAAAAATAAATAAAAAATAATAATAAAAAATATATATATTTTTTTAAAAAAAAAATCTATGTCAAAATAAATAAATAAAATAAGCAAATTAAAAAGGAGAAAATATTTGTTTAGAGTGAAAAATTAACAAAAGTTTTATTAACGTGCTAGACAATAAAGTAGGAAATTTGATGGCACAAAAGAGAAGTTGAAGATTCATGCTTTCTTCTTTAATGAGTAGGAGGTCAACAATCAGCTTTTGACTAAACCAGCATGTGTTCCTGCTTTGGAATTCGTGCATTACAAATACTCCTCCACTTCCATTTTTTTTTAAAGAGAAAAGGGTAAAAATGACCTTAAACTATGTGAAAAAAATAAAAATATTCTTATCGTCAATATTTTGGTTCAATGATTTACCCTCCTATAAATATTAAAAACTTATTAAAAATCGCAAATTTCAGATATTTTTTTCTCTTTTTAAAATTTTGTGTCAAATCAAACTAGCGTCATATAAATGTGAAAATAAATGTGAGTAATAATTAATCTTTTTATCTTTTCAATAAATTGATTGTTTAAATCAAATTTGTAACTTAATATGTTAGTATTGATTTATATAAATTGATGAAACCCCACCATCACAATTTTCATTTGAAAATATCAATATCCCCTTAAATCATGGACTAAAAGGAAAAAGGTCAAAAAGCTAGGCAGCATCATGGAGCAACAATATTCAATTAGTAGTGAAGAACGAGACACAACTTAGCTTTCTGTCTTCTAATTTTGTTAATATTTCTCTGGTTAAATTAAATGGCATATTTGAAACCGAAAATATAAAAAAGAGTATATTTAAATTATTTTTAATAGTAGAGGCCAGAGGGATGTTACTTAACCTTTTTACATTTTTATATTTAAGGAACTATGTTACTTGACTTAAATAAATACTAAATTTAATTTAAAAAACAAAACATTCAAATTAAATTATTCTAATTAACCTTATACATCTATGATTGATTTTTTAATTTCCCTTTTTATTCTACATTATATTTTCTATCTTTTAATAGCTTAATCAAAGTTACTTAATAGTAGGTTCTTTATCTTTATTAACCTTTTTAAATTATGTGATTTTTCCTTTTTACCGAATTATGTGAGTTTTTTTTTAAAAAATGCATATTAAATTAATTGAAATATAATTTTTGTGGGATTTTTATTAAATATTTAAATTCAAATATGAAAAATCATCGACGTAAAGGTAAAAAATTACACTACCTAAGATAAGATTAAGCTTAATTTCATAATTTCAAGGCAATTTTATCCAATTTTAAAAAATTAAATATAATCGGAATTTTGGCAGGATAAACTCATTAATTAGTTGTATATCAAAAGAAAGATTTTTTAACTTTTTTTATGCATTGGAAAAGATAAAAGTATCAATGATTTGTAGAAAGAGAACGAAATTCAAAATTTACATTTTAATTTTTCATGAAGGGCATAATTGGCAAAAAAAAAAAGTAGGAAGTATCATAATACCCATGAATTGTCTTAAATGTCCCCATTCTGTCCGCAATCATTTTGCCCAAAAATTATTTTTCTATTTTTCTACTCTCTGTCCCAATGCAAAATTGGAAATTTTGAGAGTAAACTAAAAAAGTTATTCAAATTTCTTTAATATCTATTAAGTATTTAAAGTTATTAATTATTATAATTTACAGTTTTTTAACGTAGTTTTCAATAATAAAACTTTATTTCAAAAAAATTAAAACTTCTCGATCTGAATTCACGATCAAAGTTTAGAAATTTAAATCTCAAAATTTCAAATATATCAATATAAATTGAGATAGAGGGAGAAGACACATCTTTTTAGTATATTAAAAAATATTTAAATACTTTTTTAACATAAACTTTTCATTTCATATATTAAATAACAACAAAAAAAATTTAAAAATTAAATAACAAACTTTCATAATTATAATAATGTGAGTAATATGTTAATAGTATTAAATTTTAAATATATTTTTTGTATGAAGAAAAAATTTCTTCTTCCATTTTGTGTCTAATGAAATAGGGAGTATTTAACAAAGAGATTCATAATTAATGTAGTTGAAGAGTAGAATAAATGAAAGATAAAGAGTGATAGGGACTAAAAAAGTAAAGAAGATAAAAGGGTACAAACCGTAGGGTATGTGTAATCTGGCGAGTAGGGAGAGTACCTGACAGTTTGTCACAAGAAAAACAAACATAAAAGCATTAGAATGTGAAACTTGATACGGAAGTTTTCTTAGGCATTATACCTAAAAAAAAAAAAAATGACCGAGTCTAGACATGTTCAAAATTTATATATCAAGTTAATATTAGGTATTAAAAAGACTCAAAATTAAAGTATTTAGTTATTAAATGAGGCCAAATTAAAGTGAGTTTGTAGAAGAAGCATGCATGATGATGAGCTGTGGACATTATTATTATGAATGAAAAAAATGGTGCATATAAACAGGCATGCGTGGATAGTGTAATGAGGTATTGTTGGAATGAGTTGGCAGATGCACGTGAGTATGTACAGTAATATAAAATAAAATAAAATAGAGTTGTAAAAGTGTGATACCCATAAAGATTGTAAGGTATCCCTTGTTGGATAGCATAATGAGGGAAGGTTGTTGCTGAAGGAAAAGCTGTTGCTGTTTGAAACCCTCCATGAAAACCACTCATCACCCGTAAGTTCCTGCCTCCTCCTCCTGTAATTTCTTGATATTATTTTCTTTAATAAGAATAAAATAGTAAATTCATTACGTCAATTATTATTTTCTTAATTGATGTGTCAAGCAAAAAATGAACGAGATAAAAGCAAAAGGTGTACATTTATTACACAGAAAAATGAGCTGTTATGCTTTCCTAAAACATCACATGCTATGCCTATAGGCTAACTGGTGGTGCTAAAGCAAAGAGCATCATAAAGTGGACTCGCACACAAACAATGCCTTTATTACCATCATGTTTTTGACTAAAAATATATCTTCCCACTAGCAAAAATGGTTTAAAACAATTCTTAATCCAAAATATATGGATCAACATTTTTTTAATTTTTCACTTTACATAAAATATTAAAAAAATTGACACTATAAATGTAGTCATATTAATCTTCAATATATTTTTGCTCAAACCTTAATTCACAACTAAGAGCACTACTTGTCCCGGCCGGACTTAAAATGTGTAGGGCAAAAATGGTGTTATTTTTTATAGCTCAAGAGGAAAATTAGACTATTTTACAAGTTGGACATTATTTTTAGCTGAAAAATAAGGATGAGATTATTTTTGAATAGTTCATCAAGAATATTCATGGTGCGTGAAAAAAGAAATGATTACGCAAGATTTGAATATCCAAAAAAAATTTGAATCACAAAGAAAGCAGAAAGTAGAGTATGTGTGGTGAAATAATAAATTAGGTAAATATATTCCAGTAATAAGGATGTGATACCATGTTTAGGGGTAGTTGGTTTAGATCTTTGAACTCCCATGGAAGCAAGATTGCAGTTAGCTCTTCTTCCATCAATAACAGGAGCAGCATCAACACAAGCCCTCATCGCTGCTTCTGCCTCACGAAATGTTACCTGTATTGTGAAATTAATTAAGATAATTGAAACATATATATATATATATATATGAAAAAAAAGAAATAATAATTAATTATCATACAAATCCATAGCCTTTGGATCTTCCAGTAGCCTTATCAGTGATAACAACAGCTTCTAAGATATCACCAAATTGTTCAAAATATTTCTTCATGGTTTCCTTTTGAGTCTCCCAAGCTAAACCCCCAACAAACACCTTTGTATACGTTGTGTCCCCAAATTGACCTGATGGAGTCATCTTTGATCTATAACTGGTTATGGATCTAGGCCTAGCTGATTGATATTACAAAGGGAAGGATCTCAGTTAGGTCAGAGATAGGAAGGAGGGAGGGAAAAAAAAAAAAAAGAAAGAAAGAGAGAGGAAAATAGGAGGGAAGAGAAAGAGAAAGCAAAAGAAAGATAATAATAGTAGAAAAAGGGAGTTACATAATACGACATGAAATTATAAACAATGCTTGCTGCTCCTAACTGCTTTACACACTGGCATCTTCAACTATCTTCACGCGCTTTACTTCCCCGCCAACCCTTTTCAATCTCCACATACTAAGGACCGTTTGGCTCCAAAAAAAAATACTTGGAAAATTTATAAAGTGACGTTTGACCTTATAACTTGGGCCAAGTTCTAGTATTTGGAATTTTTAAAAAAAAATCTAAGTTTCCAAATACTAGTAATTGAAATTTTAAAAAAATTCAAAAATTATCCAAAACTTTTATATTTTATAAAAATTATTCATCATTTATTAGTTCCAACTAAGGACGTGTTTGGTCATAGATTCCCAAGTAAAATTTGAATTTTTTAAAATTCTAATTTTACACCAAACTTTTATCTTTTACAAAAACACTCTCTATAGTACTTGTTTGCGTTGTATTACATAATTTCTTATGAGAGCACAAAAGTAGTGATAAAATATTCAGTGAATATAAAAGTGATGATATGATTGTTGATAAAAATGATGAGCAATCGGCTTAAGGTAACAAAATCATGTGTTTTGTCTACTTCACGATGTATGAAATGATGTTTGTTGGACTCACTCTGAACTACTACATTACTCTAGTGTCATGGACACTACTTGTTATTTGTTGCAACAATGATCCAATTGACTTGTAATACAAACATATGGTTAGTTTTGATAATTTTTAAAACATATGGGTATAAATTATATTTCCTATAAATGTGAAATATATTTCTCAAATACTATGGCCAAACACATGGTGAAATTTCACCCAAATTATATTTTCCAAAAATATTTGAAAATTTATGGTCAAACGCTAGCTAATATTTATTTACCATATCTATCTATTACTCATAATAAATAACTAGATTGCTCATCTATCTATTTTGAGTGACAAAATTGAGAAAAAACAACAATTTATTTTTAATAGGTTATAATCATAATCAAATCAATGACAAGTTTGAATATGCGATTAATGTATGATCTTGCCTATATTGTTATTTTATTGTTGTTGATTGTTATCAATTATGTTATAAGGATTTTTTTTAACGAAACATATTCATTATAAATGATAGAGAAAATGGTCTAACCCCCCCCCCCCAACCTATACCCGAAATCTCAACTACATACTTCAACTTCACGGACGCCCTATTGCCCACCTGAACTTTATATTTCTCTATTTTCTACACACCTAAGTGTTGACCTGTCATGGGAGGTGTTCTCACCTCCTCTAGGCACATTAGAAGGTGAATTTTGACGAAAATTTCCTCTGTCTCCAATGGTCATCTTCCCCACCCTTAAATAAATCATTGTTTCTTCTTCCCCACCATTACCCTTGTTCCTTTTATTAAAAAAATTCACGATTTCCTCTAAAAAATAAGTAGGGTTTAGTTGTTTATGTTCATTTCTACTTCAAATCTTGAATCTAGGGTTTGTATTCTGCTCTAATTTCTTATTTAGGTCTCTAATTTGAATTTTGAATTTTCTCGAAATTCATCAAAAATGACAAATGAAAACTTGAATAAGTTTTGTATGAATGAATCAGACCCAATGCTCAACGTTGTAGTGAGATGCAAACATGGAGTTTTGCTGAATTTACAAACGTCTTGGTCGAAATTAAATTCGGGAAGAAGATTTTGGTCTTGCTCATGCTATGGTGTATGTGTTTTTCCTTGTATTCTTGCTACACTTTATATTGAACGATGCTAATGTACTATTTTTGGATAATTTTCAGTCTAAAAATTGCAATGTTTTTCGATAGGGGGACAAAGAAGAAGTGGATCCAAGATCAAGTTTTATCCTTTCAAGATTGGTGAACAAAATCAATGAGTTGGAGCAAGAATTATGTATTACACAGGTTGATATTGACAACTTGAGAAACTCTAATTTGTTATTGGAGAGGAGACTCAATAGAAAGTGGAAATGGTGTAGGTTCAATAGGAAGATAATTTTGTGTATTTTGATTTGTGTTGTTGCTATGTTCATTAGAAACCAATATATTCAAGGGTAGTATTTGATTTAGATTTCTCTTTGACTTGTATTGTTGTTATTTTTAATTAGAATTGTCAATATATGTGATTTGTATTAGTCTTGTATTAATATGCAACACTTCATCTGTAAACTGAATAGCCAACAACCTAGTTATTTCATTCATACTTCAACATAGACAACACAACACCATTTGTAAAACACATAACCAACACAACATTATTTGTATAGTCAATTGAACCAACACAACACCATATGTAAACACACCTGATTAACCAATACAATTCGATAAACAACACAACAACATCTCATAACACAACATCACCATTCATTCATAAGTCCTCACATAAAGCAGAATTTACCAAAATAAAGTCATATTCATAAGGCCTCACCTAAGGCAGAATTTACCAAAATAATGTCATATTCAAAAGCCCTCATAAGGCAAAATTTATCAACAAACAAAATCCAAAATAGTAGGCCTTTAATGTAGCATGTCTCGACTAACTTAAAATTGCTTAAATACATCAACATTACTACAATTTTCATGGGATTTTTTACTGTGAAGAAGTTTGACTTGGATTATTTGAACTACTTCCCATTGTCTTCTTTCTTTTCTTCTCTCTAAGCTCATGAAGTTTGCTTGTTGTGATTGTTGCTATACCAATGTCACCAATTACATTAGATGCTCTTGTCACTTTTGCTTGTCCAGTAGAGTAGATCTTACTACTTGGCATGTCATGCTATAGTAAAATTAGGATTATAATTCAATATTTAAGCTGTTTAAATAAACAAAATTAGAATTATAATTCAATATTTAAGTTGTTAAGATATATGAAAGACTCATATTCATGACTTTGAAGCCATTTGTAGCTTGGAACACACCCATTCCCATGACTCTTGGTCTTTTCTCTGGAGATATGTTTCCCCTGCCCCTACCTCTTCCTCTTTTAGTAGTACCGGCTACTGAAGATGATGCATGATAAGTAGAAGGATCAGAAGAGGATGCAGTAAAATTGGTAGGTGTAGTAGGTAAGAGAGGTGCACTAGGTGCTACTGATGATGTTTTTTTTGTCTTCCTCTTCCTCTTTTTAGTGGAGCCTCACCTTCTGATGGTGCTGATGGAGTTTTTTTTTTATACATATAAGAAAAAAAGTAAGTCATAAATTAAGAAAAAGTAAAACAAGTTCAAATATTACCTTTGGTTTTCCTCTTCCCCTGCATGAACTTGTTGGTTCTGCCCTTACTGATGTAGTAGGTGATGGTGCACTATGTCTTGTTGATGACTCAACACCTTCTCTTATTATTCCATGTGACATGGCATATATTGTATGTCATTGCAAGTTCAGTCCTAGAAAGCTTCTCAGATTTCTTAGTTTCTCCGGCTTCTTTCCTTCTAGCCTTAGGTGGCCTACCAGGCATGTTTGTGATTTCTGATGGCTCAATAGTGGGGTTTGTAGAAACTGGAGACATCTCTATGTTTGTGAGTGGTTCAATAACATTGGCATAAGTCCTTAAGTAAATTTCTTTACTGTAGAAGTTGTCTATACAGTCATAAAGAGAACTTCTTAAAGTATAATGCAGCCACATCATGTGCACATGTTATGCCCCTTAACTGCCACAACCTACAACTATAAGTTCTCCTAGCAATATCCACTTTGTGTTGACAAATCCCTTCTTTCACTTCAAATCCAACAACTCCATTAAACTCAATGGTACAGTCCATAGACCTACTAATGTTCTCATCTAAAACCTTTAGAGCCATTGGAGAGAAATTACACTTTCAAGTACTTGGGAACTCCCTTAAATTGGCTATTTTTGTCATCATCTTCACTCTTATTTCTTCAAGCATAGTAATGATGGTCTTGTGTCTAGCAGTCAAGATCCATGCATTAAAACACTCAGACATGTTGTTTTCTACAGAGTCACACTTCACTTCAGTATTGAAGTAAACTTTGCACCAATTATTAATGTTGTAGTACATTAACTTATCCATCATTCTTTCTGGACCTAACAACTTCATCTTCTCTATATTTTTCCTTAATTGAGACTCAAATGTACTCTTATCTATCTTCCAAAATTATTTTCTTCTTTGAAGACCCCTCCAATCCTTAGCCCAGTTAGCTAATATGTGCCTAGCACACATTCTATGTTTACACTTAGGTAATACATATGTAATTGTTGCAGACATTCCCACAATAGATGATAATTAGGTCACAATTACATATATAAATTGAAAATTACAAAATAAGTTCACATACCTTTTGCATATCCGTAATCAAGGTGAAACCTTCACCATCTCTAAGTCCCAGATCATCCCTTATGCACTTGACAAACATGGTCCATGTGTTTTTGTTCTCCTTTTCAACTACTGCCCAAGCAAGTGGCAACATCTGATTGTTACCATCCTTGGCCACAACAACTAATAGTTGACCTTTACAAACACCTTTAAGGAAACAACCATCTAAGCCTATGCACTTCCTACAATGTATCCATGCCTTCCTTAAAGCATCAAAACAGATGTAAAAACTCTGAAATATTGATTTGCCTTCTGCATCAGGTTCACCAACTTTTACAATACAACTGGTCCCTGGATTGGTCCTCAACAATTCATCCTTGTAGTAAAGTATTCTTCCAAATTCCATAACATGATCACCATTATATCTTTCAACACTTTAGCTCTTGCTCTTCTCACAGTAGTCTTGCCAACATAAAGTTTAAACTTTTTCCTAATCATCTCCTGCAACTTGAAGACTCTTATGTTTGGTTGCTCAGTTATTCTTTCTTTGAAGGCTTCAGATAAAAACTTTGCATTGGACAAGT